AGTTCCAACTTTGACCAGTTAATAGACTAACAAGATAAATGTCTGAAATCATTAACTGTCTGCAACAAAGCCAGAACAGGTGACCAGTGTTCCAAAATAAACAAGGGAAGAAGATCAGCATAGAGAATAAATTTGTATTTCAATGTACTCTGTATCGATCCATGTATTTTGTTGCATAGCACATACCAAGGGTTCCAAACATGAATTGAATATTAGTGAAGACTGAAAAATACAGTTTCCAGGAGATTACAAAGCAAGGAGAGGAATGAAGAGAAGATGGTAATTGGATAGTGAGAATGAGTAAACATCACTGGGTCCAGAGTTTCCTTTATGTTATAAGGAACTAAATGGAGGTTCTGGAATAAGGCATAATGCAACTGAATATTTGGCAGTCCTGCTAACCATTACAAGTCCTATGAAATGCAGCAGACAGATTTTATATCACCTTTCTTGCAAGGAACAAAAGACAGTGGAGATTTTTTTAACACAACTCTGTGAAATAGGTTTGACTTAGAGAGGATGACTTGCCCAAAATTTCCTAGTGAACTTTGTGACTGAGTAGTGATTTGAACTGGCATCCTCCCAGTGCTAACTCAACATGCACTCCCTACCTTCTCAAACCCAGTTTGCTCCAGTTGTGTTGGACCATAACTTTAGACTGGGAATAACCTCAGTCACCAATTGCAAGAGACCACCAGGACTGAAGTTATCCTCATGCTTGGCTGTAGATTCCCAAGCAGGAAGGCATGAGGTAAAGGCGTAAAGAGGGCTTCCTGTAAGTGAGGTTAGGCTAGCCCAGATGGGGGAAAGTGGAAGTGGATCAGCAAAGCTGGGAGGCATATGTCTTTACCCTGAACAAGAACCTCTAGATTTGCTGGGCCTCAGTGTGGTAACTAGAGGCAAAGACTTACAAATAAAGGGTGTTTGAGTTTATCTCAAGAATCTTGTGGATATGGAGGTTATGGAAGTGAGTGGGTTCAGTGTACCCCTTCCTGAGGATGGGCTCACACCAGCCAACACATATGGAGGGCAACACATTAGGGAAAACTGCTCTAACCACTATTCTGCACTGGAGACTTTAACAATAACACTTCAGAAAAAATCTGCAGCTGCTGTGTTGTGTGTATGTCTGTGTACATTGTAAGAGTTTGAGTAGGGCGAGTAGCTTTTTCTGATAGGACTTCTGATTGTAAAAGCTGCTTGGCAACAAATTCCATAGGTGAAACGTTGCCAAGTACCAAAATATTGTTGGTAACTTGTGATATTTCTTTTTGCCACACTTGGGAGGTTAGTCCCCCAGAATGTGTCAGTGGAGCAAGAGAGAAAATAGCAGCAAAAGGGATGTGCTTTTCTGTGTGTCTCTTGAGAGCTCTTTGATGGAACAAAGCTTTTAGAAGGGTATAACAAGGGAAGAGTCAAACCAAGATAGGAATACAGAGTTGGCAAGGGAGAGGATAATTCTAGAGTGCTGCTAAACCTAGAAGATACATGTTTTAAGGAAAGTGAGAAAAGAACGGGGACCAAAATAGAGGAGAGTGGAGATGAGTGCTGCTATTCTCAATGAATCAGATATTGTGACATCTGATTTCTTGCCATCCCTTTCCTAAATTTAGCCTAAATGGGAAAATTCAACCCTTTTGTCTTTCAAGTTTTCCAGAGCCAGTTTCTTTAATTATGTGTTACTTTGTGGCAAACTGCCATAGCTTTGTTCTCTCAACAGTTTGCTTCTGAGACTGAACCAGCCTTGCTTACAGGCCCCAACGTGCTGCTGGAAAAGCAGAGGTCTGTTCTCTTATTCATTATAAAAGGGTATGTGCAGACCCACTGGAGAAGCTCACTTGCCACATTTGAGCCACGCACACCCCATCTCCCTCACATCATGCTCAAGGAAGTTGCTTCTTGCAACTGAGCTGGATTTGCATGGTGCTGACAGACTGGCTTCTGTGTCAATTGCAGAAGTACTCCCCCCCATTCCCGTTTCTCAGAGCATATTTTATGCATCTGAAAACATCAAACAAAAACAGAATGCTAACCAAATGCTTATGCAAATAGCTATGTAGGTGAAATGAAAATCAGATGGCCCACCTGAAGTGTGTGTGTGTGTTTGTGTGTGTGTGTGTGTGAGAGAGAGAGAGAGAGAGAGAGAGAGAGAGAGAGAGAGAGAGAGAGAGGGAGGGAGAGAGACAGAGTTTATTTGGAGCCAGGTTCATTTGTACTTTGCAGATGGAGAAAAGCAGAGCTCATTTCATGGGAAACTTGCCGACACCTGTTCCTGTGTCTGTATAAATACAGACATTCATATGCAGACATAATGAAGGATGTTTCTTGGCAGAAAATACCAAGGTCCTCTCTTTGCACCTTGTTAGAGCACCCAGGAACTGCTATTCCACTTTTGATGTATTCTCTTCTGGTATGTTGGAGAATCTCTAAGGCCCAAACAGACAGTACTTTCAAAGTGTCTACAGGCTAGGAGGGGGCCTTTTCCCACTTAATAGTAAGGCTAGGATGCTTGGTCCAGATCTTAAACACGCATCTACACCCTATGTTCTGGCCCTAATCCAGCTCGGGGTCTCAACCTACTTTAGAAGAAAAAAACCAAAAAACAGTGGTAAGGGGGGCATGAGGAAGACATAGCTGCCAGACACTTAATGTCTGCTTTGGGCTGTACTGCATTACATACTGTGTTATGAGGAGCATTCTAATAATTTAGCACCAGCAACATGTCTTCCGTTTTTAGATCTTGCATCTGTGTTCTTTAAAAAAAATATAATTGTGGAGAGAACTTTGTGGTATCCAAGAGAGAGAACGCTGTATTTCAAGGAGGTGTGCAATTGCCACGTACTTCAGCAGAGAGATTGATGACTTGTAGGTGTGCTGCCATAAATCTGGAGTGAAGATGTTTGAAACTGTACGGTATCTGCATCGATAAGTGGGTTGAGTAAACAAATTGAATAAGATCACCAATTTCTAGTGTATTATGTCAATTCCCTGGGAATACTAACACAAGCAGTTTCAATAAATTGCTTTTATACAGAAAATGTGACTGAGATGGGAAGATTGGTTCTCATAAGCTTGGTGATTATAGCATAGCAAAGTATTAACAATTTTGCTAGAAGCCAAGATCTCTTTCTGAATACAATTTGTCCTTCTTGCAAGTCCGCTTGTCCTTGATATTTATCTTCCAGTTCTGGTAGATATTTCCTTTGCAACTGAATAGTGCTCCTTGTATTATGGAAGTAATGGAGAACTAAAAATGATTGACACTTTCAAAAGAATCATATGGTACAATACCATTTCACAGTGCAGAAGGGGTTATTGCTTGAATAATGTGCGAGGATATACAAACTACTTCCTTGAATATGAATTCCAATGTGTCATGAAATGAGGTGGGTGGCTGTTAAAAAGGGGACTTTTTCTGTTATGAACCCTAGTTATGGAACACGCCCCCCAAAGAGGCTTGCCTGATGCCTACAACATTTTTTTGGTGCCAAACGAAGACCTTTTTATTTTCTTAGGAATTTTAGTTTTTTTGTTTCTGTTGTTTAAAATCTATTACTGTATGTTAAATCTCTGCATTGTTGCTGAGTTTTATTTTGGTTTTATTTTTATTTTATACTGTGGGTTTATACTTTTGAATTATATCATGTTGTGTTTTATGGTTTTAATTGTTGTGAAACATCCAGAAGACTTTGGCTTTTGGGTGGTATAGGAAGAACAGTTATAGGTTAGCAAATTCGTTCTGTTCTCTTTGTGTAGGATTATTTTTTAAGCAACCGTTCAGGTATGTGCCGCTTCCCACACATATCTTCGTTCAGAGGTAGAATGAAGGTCCATCTAGTCCAGTACTCTGTACACACAGTGGCAAACCAGCTGTCCAGAGGACCTCTCACACAGGATGGGTGCAAGACCTCCATCTGTCCAAGCACCTCAGCAACTGGTGTATGCCGACTGGCTCTTTAAAAGATTGCTGTACAGGCTTCTTCAGTCCTGTTTTTTTTACCAATGCAACATGGTTCATGAAGGCACGTATGTGTGCAATTGGTTTCGGATCAAGCTGTCACCTCTAAATCATCCTTGGCATCAAAAGTGGGGTCATGTAGCCCATTGTTAACACATAAGCTATTTGGAAATCCCTGATACTCAGAAACAGAGGTAGTATCCAATTTCTGTTAATGCTTTATTATATGTAACTAAGGTCTTGTATCCCTCTTTTGTGAATCACCCAGTGTCGTGCCTGACGCCCCGGCAGAGGCGGCACCTCACGAGGAGGATTTATGCTTAAGACCCCGTAGCCAAATGTCTCCCCGACAACCTAGCTTGGGAATGGCTGAACAGATAGCCGTGCCTCATCCTGACCCTTTGCCCATTGAGCAAACAGCCGAGCCTGCATCAAAGCAAGGGGCTCCGAGGGAAAAGGCACTATGAGTTCTGCTCATGGAGAGCCTGAGCAGACTGCCCCCCTTCCTCCTGTCACTGAACCTCCTGAGCATGACACAGGAGACACAGGAGGCGGAGTAGACCTTTCCCCGCAGGGCTGCTGTGCAGATGAGAACAGAAGCAGGCTTTGTCCTGCCTCAGGGAGGAAAGGTGGGACCAAGATAGCTAGTCCCTCCTGGGCTCCCTGACAGACGTCACTAAGGAGTTAGCATCTGCCTTGTAAAGATCTTTTCAGTAGAGCTTATCTGTAGAGTTGTGAATCTTGTAGATAAGTAGCAATAAAAGACTTTAATTTTATTGCTCATGAATGTGTGGTTCATTCATGACACCCAGGCAGCTTCAGCCATTGGGTGATATAGAAATGCCATTGAATAATGAAGACTATTCTTTTAAAAACATATTATTTTTTATTGGCCAGACTGGTTCTGAGGACTGTTGATTTTTTAATTGTCTAACATTGTTTTGTCAGTCCCTGCAGAAGAAATGAATATCCTGTTCAGTAACTGAAATTCCTAAACTATTGTGTGTTTTTGCTCAATTAAAAAAAAAATCTTATTTTGTAGGTGTGTCGTTGTGCTGTTCAACCCAAGGAAGAATAAGCAACATCATATTTTGAATAGCTCTAGGTGAGTGAAACCCAAAGCTCTCGCTTACTGGCTTGCCTTACAGTATCAGAAAGGGAGAGTGAAGAATACCCCAGAGAACATGCTCCATCTCTTTCTTATAAAGTACAGCTGGTGATTTCAGGCTTTTAATCCAACTGCACTGCCTTGGAACACTGCGTTTTGCACTTTTAACCTCACCATACTTTTCTACCTCTTCTGCCCCCATTCTACTTTTTTAAAAAAACAAAACCTCCCTAAAACAAAAGAACAAAACACCCCCCCCCCAAAAAAAATGTTGAGGAAAAGATGGAATATCTGCACAACAAATTTTAACTGGTAGCACTAAGTCTCCTTTGTCTGAAAACATCCGTAGAATGAGAATCCAAATGTACGGCTCTAATTTATAACATGTATAAAACATCAGAGTAAATTTAAACAGAAATGAAACTTGCATTGTGGAAGTTCTCAGTTTAGGAGACTGAATTTTAGGGTTGTATTTTCAGTCAATTTTGTGGGCATTTTTGTGCTAATACTGAGAAGTTGATAACTTGAAGTTTGACTTTTTTGTCTTTTTGAATTTTGACAAATGAATTTTAAATTTGAGAAACGTCCGGTGGACACTATCAGAACAAGGATTTATAAATGGTTAAATGATGATAGTATATTTATACCTTGCCCTTCTTCCTCTTGCCAGGAGCCCAAGGTGGCTTACAGAGTTCTCTTTCATTCCATTCATCCTGTCAAGAACTCTGTGAGATCGGTTAGGATGAGAGTCTGTGACTGGCTTAAAGCCTTCCTGTGAGTTTCATGGCTGAATAGGAACTAGATCTCCCAAGTCCCAGTCCAGCATTCTAACCACTATGCTATATGGGCTCTAATCTGATAATTCTTGTGAACTTTGAATGTGTTTGGAGTTCTGAATATGTGCAGAAGTTAATGTGGGGGTCCATTTCCCACCGCTGTCCTTGCAGGGAACAGGCATCAAGATTGTTGACTCAAGAGGAAACAAATTAACTACTCCCCTTTTTCAACTCTGGCTCCTCTTGACAGGGTTATTTTAATGTGATAGATGAACAGCAAAAATATGTCAGTTCTTAGGAAATGCTTCACAATCATAGCACATGCTTTCTTTATGCTTGTGAATTTCTAAAGGAATGAAATGTTTAATTTTTTTTGTTTATATGCAACTCTTTCTGCAAACAAGGCCAGAACTTCTCAAGTTGTCTATACAGGAACTGGCTAGTCCTTGACCTGGAGGAGACTACAAATACAGTCCTATGCTAGTTCCTTGAGTAAGCTCCAATGAACAAAGTGAGGCTTACTTCTCAGTAAGCATGCATAGGCTGTGGCATAAATCAACTTTAAGCATCACTTAACTGTGTTGTCCCTGGAGTGGTCTCTGATTTCAGCAATCCAAGGATTTAGAAAATAGGCTTGAAAGGGTGTAAAGTTCCCTAACCCAAATGATGTAGCTATTGCTGTATAACTGAGTTATGCCACAAGAGCTCATTGTGAACTGGATCCTATCGAGTCAGATGCTCCTTGAGAATTCTGATAACAATGATCAGGCGTGGTGATTCCATGACATTCCAGATGATGTTGGGCTGCAAAGACCTTCAGTCCTAACCAAAGGTAATGATGAGGGATGATGGAAGTTGCAGTCCAAGATCTGGCGGGCCACTGAAAATATATCCCTGATTTACAGGTCCAAAAGCCACAACTTATACCTCTAAAACTTAATCAGTTTGTGTAATCATACACAATCACATGTATGTTCAGACAGAAAAATGTCCTACAACTCTAAACATAGCCATAAGCTTTTTTTCTGTCTAAACATGCATAGAATTGCACTCTTGCGTATTTTTTCAATTAAAGATGCATAAGAGTTATCTTGCATTTGAAAGTTTGGCACTATTCGAGTATTCATGTTTTCAAAGAAACTTTTGCCAGCCTCAGGGACTATAAACTTTGGTTGCTCACTGTCATTCTTGTGATGAGCTCTACATGAGCCATTTTTAAGGGAAAGTAAAACAAAAACCCAGGCTAAGTATGTCCATATTTTCTGGGATTATTTTTTAATAAAATTTTTATTATTTTCTAGCAATAAGACAATAATTATTCCAAATACATCAGACATACTGGGTTGTTATTCTCTTTACAATTAATGTATATTTCAGCCCTAAATATAATCCCATTTCTCTAACCAATGATAAAAAAAGTCCCAAGTTTGATAGTAGTAAGTGTCTTCTTTTTCCTTAAGAGAAAAAGTCCGTCTGTCCATTTTCGCACTGTCCAATATCTTCTTTAGAATCAATTCTTCAGTAGGTAATTCTTCATTCCTCCAGTGTTGAGCAAATACAATCCTCGCCCCTGTGATTACATGTAAAGTCAAATATATGCTTTGTTTATCAAACTCATCAGGGAGAATGCCTAATAAAAAATATGTCCAGTTTAAATATTACAGTCTTTGCAACATTTCCCCAAGCCATCAATTTATTTCAACCCAATATTTTTTGCTTTATCACAGGTCCACCACATATGATAAAAAGTACCAGGTTTTTGTTTACATTTCCAACATCTATTTGACATATTTGAAAACATTTTTGCTGATCTATTTGGTGACAAATTTTCTGGGATTATTGTAAGGAGCTATGCAGTTGATGATCTCCTAGAAAAATGGCATCTCTATTGTTTTCTAATACAATTTTGGTCTTGATATCAAGTAGGAAAACCAAGTATTGTGTCCAAACAGTCAGGGAGATTTGTAGCTGTTTTGAATGAGAGACAAAGTAGGTTAAACATTTTCCTGTTGGATCCCAGTAGTTAATTTAAATTCAGCAAGGTTATTCTGCAAGCTCAGGTGTTAAGGACTGAAGCAGCACACGCTTAACAGAATACATTCTTGCATGTCAAAGTTGTTATTTCTTTCTTGAAGTATTCTCAGATGAGCTGTTGATCTGATCAGATACTTGCATGGCTCCTAATCAGATCAACCCATTGGCAAATACATCAGGGAGACCATCAGCATAACATGGACATGTAACAACATAAGCTGCATTATTTGTCTAGATTTCGCTTGTGCACACCCATGCCAGCAGCATAACCTCTGAGGTTTAAAAGCTTTAAAAATCAGCATTGCTTCCAGTATGTCGGATCTCTACAACATCTATGCAAATGAGAACACAATCTTTGGCAGCCTTTGTGGAACCCGTTTCCTTTGGATAGCTGCAAATACAGGAATCATTAAGTCCACCTGAAAGGGATTGGCTTGCCCTCATTTTCAATCACCCAATTTCACTCTCTACTTGTCTTGGCTTGAAAACACCAACCCTTCACTTTTTGCCTGTGATGTTTCACAATATGCTGTCTTTTCTTATACAGGAAAACCATTACAGCCCTTGCTTTCTCTCCTGATGGAAAATATCTGGTTACTGGAGAGGTAAGTGATGGAGACCAAGAACTTAGCTGGTCATATGGCTCTCATGATCAAGAAACTCAAAGTCTTTCCTCCAACTATTCCAACACATAGAGAGGGCTGGTTTTCCTTCTCTCCCCTCCCCGCAATGGAGAGAGCACTGTCTGTGGTACAAAAAGAGTAAAAATAACTTTTTGCCTGTGAGGGAAAGGGGTCATTTGGCATTATTGTGGATGAACTTTTTTTAATCTTCAGGAGTAGGGAAGATTTGCACTTTGAGAGCAAATTGCTTCTTTGTTAAGAAACATGAGGAGTTCCCAAAGCAGTGACCATGCTGTGCCACCCTCCAGACAATCATCTGTCTCCATGCTGGAGTGGATTCTTTAAAATGGCCTCCCAGCTCCCTGTGCTTGTCTGCTTCTCATTGTACCTTTGCTTCATTGGCTCTTTCCATTCTGATGGGACAACAGGCATTTGGACTGGTTGGGCCGCAGTTTTGAAAAAAGGATTATAAGCTGATTTTCAATGGATGGAAGCTGCAGGGGAGTTATGGTGGTGGGAAAATGTCCAGACAGGGCTCTTGGGCGAGGAAGAAAACACAAACAAGTAGGAAATCGAAATGGTGGGGGAAGCAAGAGGAGCCATGGGAGCAAAGCAAAATAAGAATGGAACAGTTCCAGTTCGCCCCTTGTAGAAATGTGAGAGGATGAGGACTGACTGTAAAGGCCAAAAAGTGAGATTAGGAATAGAAAGGAAAATAGAGATTTGAGTGGCGGAGAAATGAATTTGCTACCTGCAAGGGGCGGGGGAGTGCCTTCTGAAGTGGGTGCTTTGTTGGAATAGAAAATTCTAAGTGGTGTCTTGGAACTCTACTTTGTACTCACTTTTTGGGGCAAGCTACTCAACTTTAAGCCTTGTTAGGATGCTCTGTGTGAAATGGGTGTTTTCTAACTGGCCATTCTTATGACATCAGCCATTTAAGAATGGACAGCTCTCCAGTAGTCGTTTTGTGATAGCATTTTCTCAAAATTCCAAATGTGCCTACAAGCCTAAAATAGTTGGTGACCCAATCCTAAAAGTGGGGGAGGGCACATTTGAACAGCCATAATGTGTGGCCAGGGTCTGAGAGGAGCCAGTGGTTCAGTATGTACTCTGTATACATAGACAGTCAGGTTCTAGCTTTACTTCCTGGTATTTCCAATTAAAGGACACTGAATGACAAGTTTGGGGAAGGGACCATAACTGCTGGAGCTCAATTGTTACTGGAATTCTGTTTTGACCCAGATAGCCCATTACTCATTACATGTACAAGGCAGCTCTTTAGCTTACTGGGAAAATATGTTGGTGTGATTGGATAAAAAAGGATATTTCTCCCATCAAGTGTGCGAAATACGAGGTGTGGCTCACGCTGAAAGTACATAATTATCTTATTACAGTATCCATAATAAGGGGACTCTTAAGTTGTGTCTGTACTATGCTTTAGCCAAAGCAGTTAAGGAGGAAACCAGCACTAGCTCTGCCCTCAGCAGTTTTGCTTTTAGAGGAAATAAAGATTATACATTTGGAAAGATGAAATCAGAGTTGGGATTGGCAGGGTGAGTATCAGCTAAAGGCACAGTGCATGACTTTCCCCTTTACTCATTTAACTGAGGAAGTCAAGGAAATGGACTAAGGGTTCCTTTTGTTGGTTTCCACCTTGGATTTCACCCCCTGAGATGCAAAGAAGATGACTTTAACAGTCATATTTAAATCATGTTTAAAAAGGAAAGGGAAGCACTTTGAAAATAGTGACAGAAATGCTGGTGCCTGTGGGTTTGGCAGGATTTAGTTTAGTTTCTGGCAAAAAATTTCCTCCTTTGAAAGGGGAGGACAAAGATGACTGCATTCAGTTTCTAATGTAGACCAGATACACAATGCTCATACTGTACGTGTTATGAAGCCTGAATTGCTGGATGCTGAAGCCCACAAAAATGTTGACTGTCCTCTTCTTGCCCATGTTGGATGACTGCCATGTATGTCTTCTGAGGCTGATTATTATTGGGCTTCACACACAAACAGTTCTTTATTATCCTGTATGCCTTGGCTTTTAAGTATTAAGTTTAAGGGGTGATTTTGCCACCATTTGCAAATGATAATTAAGCTTTAGATGTTTACCACTGGTCAGCATCAACATCAATCTTAAAGACAGCTAACCTGCAAGTCTGTAGCTGGGTTGATATTAGAATTGGTGGGTGGAATGTTGGATTAGATCCGGGCAAGGGGAGAAAGAAAGTTTCTTTGGAAGCTTGTGAGCAGAGAGGTGGTGATGGCTCCCTATCTTTGTCTGTTTCCAAGCAACTGATACTCAGAATTATACTGTCACTGAACTGGAAAGTAAGTCTGAAATCATCTACTCCAGTCCCTTTCTCACTACAGATATCTTGCAACTGCTGCATCCCTGACTGGTGGCTCACTAGCCTCTGCGTAAAAACTTCTCCCAAATGAGACTCCCTCCACCTCCACCTCCACCTCCACCCCCACCTCGGAGGTGAACTCTCAAACAGCTCTTACCTAATCCTAGTTCCATCTTTAACCCTAACCTTTGACACCAAGCCTGTTTTATTTCAGCTTTCTTTTTCACACCCCAAAGCAATTATGATTTGCCTGCTGTACACCACTAATAGGACAGTTCACAGCACAAATCCCTTTAATTTCCTCTCTTGCCTCACACCAGTTGAGGACTGTGTGTTGCCAGTTTGCAGTGTCAGAAAAAAATCTGACAAAAGAAAGGCTATTTACAAGATTCTAAATATTCTATTCACTGTCTTTAAGAGTCTCACCTTCTAATGTCATTCAATAGTAAAGCCCCTGGTGTCCCTCTGTAATATGATGCATGGAATGGAAGGATTACTGCCAAGCCTGTATCAAAATTGATAGTTGTTTTCATGCAAAGGTTCTTAACATTGTTCCATACTTCCACCGAGGAATTTATTGAATTGTGGATTGGAAAAGGAAGTGAGTACTCACTAGCTTTGGAAAAGAGGAGCCAAATATTTAAAAGTCCAAAGCACAGCACTGTTAGGGGAAAAACAGAAGTTGTCCTCATGTTTGCAAAAATTTCCTAGCAGTTCCTTGTCCACAGTTTCCACCTACTGGTTCTAGACCTATCCTGTGAAGCATGCATCTTCTATATTGCAGCCCTTCAGATGTTCTTCAGGGCGCCGTCACATCTGCCCTTGCCTCCAGGTTTAAATGTATCCAGTTCTTGCAACCATATAACGTTCATTTCTACTAGCCATTGATATAACTCTCCACAGATTTTCCAGATGCCATTGGAAAGCCAAATAAACTAGTGATAATCTCTGCACCCGGGCCCAGCGCTCTTTAACATTTTTGTTAATTATTTGGATGAGGAAGTATAGGGAACAATTATCAGATTTTCAGATGACACAAAACTGGGTGGGATAGCTAATAGCCTGGAAGACATAAAGAAGATTCAAGGTGATCTTGATAGTTGGAGCACTGGGCTGAAAACAATGAAACTCAGTAGGGACAAATGCCACGTTCTGGACCTAGGAAAAAGAAACCCACTGCATCGTTCCAAGATCGGGAGTACTTGGCTCAACAATACTGCAAGTGTGAAGGATCTTGGAATTCTTATATATCACAAGCTGAATGTGAATCAACAATGTGATGCGGCTGCAAAAAGGGCAAATGCTATTTTAGGCTGCATTGATAGAAGCATCACTTCCATATCCTGTGAAGTCCTAGTTCCCATTTACTTGGCACTGATTAGGCCTCATTTGAAGCATTGTGTCCAGTTCTGAAGCACTCCAGGTTTATAAAGATGCAGACAAGCTGGAAAGGTTTTACCGGAAGGCAACAAGGATGATCCAGGGACTGAAAACAAAGCCTGATTGCCAGAAAACAAAGGACAGATTGAAAGAACTGTGTGTATTTAGGCTCAGGAAGAGAAGGCTGAGGGAAGATACAATAGGACTCTACAAATACTTGAAAAGCTGTCACAAAGAGGAAGGCCAGGATCTTTTCCTGATCATCCCAGAGTACAGGACACAGAATAATGGGCTCAAGTTACAGGAAGCAAAATTCCAACCAATACCTGGGTAAAGCTTGATTCTCTGAAACATTTTTTAAACATCTGTGGACACTTTCATTTGGAATTTCATCTTCCTGAGACCTTGTTTCTTACATGACCCATAAAAGGCTCAGAGCCATGTCCCAAATTGCCGGGGTATCTCTAGTCTTGCCACCTCCAATGCCTTTGAGTACAGAAGATTCTCAATTAACTAGAGATAAGGGCAGAAGCAATTGGCAACAGAAATTCCTTCCTCTCTGGAAGGCAAAATCAACTTGTCCTTTCTTTGCTGGCCTACAGCCTGTGCTTTAGCATAAAAGAATGATATGTAGAAGTGAGATCATCTTGCGTTTTTCCCTGTGGTCTCTGTGCAGTCACACCTATGGGCTTGCCATGGAGTGCAAGGCCTCGATCGGAGAAAACGTCCAAAGCTCGGTGCCATGGAGTGGGTGGGAGCCTGCCCTGCCCCCTGTGCAGGTAGCATAAAGTGGGGGGGGGGGAGACTTCTGCCCAGTCCCTTAGTTCCTTTTTGACCATACTTCGGGTTGCTTCGGATTGGACCTTCTGCTCGCCACTTACCTGGTTCGCCATCTTCCTTTTTTATCCTCTCTCTCCTTACTCTAAAAAAAAAAAAAAAATCCTTACCCTCCTATCTCTGCCGCTTAGAGAGAAGCCCGCTGCCTTTCTCTCCCTCCCCTACTCGTGGAAAATCTATCCTTTTTTCCCACGTTCTCTGCCATGTACTTTCCTGCTAGAAGCATATGGCCGACTTGGTTCTCTGCTGCTGCTCCATCTGTGTGGCCTGAATGCCAGCCATCGCTGGGCACTCCAAGTGCCTCCTGTGCCTTGGTGAGGGGCACATCATTGAGACATGCCCTCACTGCTAGGCCTTTAAGAAGCAAACTCGCTGGCAGAGGGCTACTCACCTCCGGCAGACTCAATCAAACCCCAGATTGAAGTTAGAATCATAGAATCAAAGAATAGTAGCGTTGGAAGGAGTCATGAAGGCCACCAGGTCCAACCTCTGCTGTCGCAGGCTACTAAGTCACACCATCCCATTCAGATGGCTCTCCAATTTCTTTTTGAATATCTCTTGTGTAGGATAGCCCACCACCTCTCTAGGCAGCTGGTTCCACTGTTGTATTGCTCTGACAATGAGGAAGCTTTTCCTGATGCAGTGGTACCTTGGCTCAATGACTCTGGTTGTGACCCAAATTGGTTGTGACCCAAGTCAAATTTCCCCATAAGGTTCATTGTAAATAAAGTTAATCCGTTCTGTTACTATTTTTTAATCAGAAACATTTGAAACAAACTGACAAAGAACAACAAAGTACTGTACAGTACATTGGAGAACACTAACCTAGCTGCGGGGGAGGTTATTGTTTTGAGGGAGAGTCCCCCTCCATAAGGACATTGGGGAGATCTCCTTCAGGGGTTTCCTCTCTTCTTTGTCTCTTAGCTGCAGCGTCAATTTTGGTGAAAAATCTGTCTATAGTCACTTGTTTTTTCCTGCGCTGCATAACCTCCAGAAATGAGAGACCACATTATCGTTCATCAGATTCAACACTCTGTTCATTACAGTTATGTTGGGGTGGTGCTTCTCAAAGAAATCCTGGCACTCATTCCATTTTTTCATAATGGATTGTATCACTGCTAACCTCCTCCCTGTCTTCCTCTTCCTCAGTGGAATCCTCCTCAGCAAGTCCCTTCTGCTGCTCACTCTGGAGTTCAGTGAGTTCTTCTGTCGTCAGCTCCTCTATGTCTTCCCTTTATGAATGCAACTGTGCTCGTGGCCATCTCTCCCCCCCCGCCGCCCCAAACCAGCACGATGGCTGCGATCTTAGTTGCCACCCAATGTGGAGTTCGCGACCCAAGTCAAAATTTTCATGAAATTTTTGTTTGTGATCCGATTTGGTTGTGAACCAAGGCATTTGTGAGCCAATGCACCACTGTATCTAGCCTGAATCTGGGTTGTTGCAGCTTGAACTGATTATTCCGTGTCCCACACTCTGGTATCAAATTAATGAAATATTAATAAATATTCATTTGGGATCAGGAAATTGAACAGTGGTGCTTCAGAGGATCTTCTCTTTGGCAAGAGGGGGTATGGTGAGGTATGCCTCTCCCTACCCAGAGGAAATTAACGAGTGGGAGGTGGTGAGGATAGGTTGGCGGGGGGCAGGAGGAGGTTCGTCATGACTGTAAAAAGTAAAAAGTGAGAACTGGGAGAGATTTTTTATCTACTCCTGAGAAAATGAACCATTGTAGGGGAATTCTGGGTTGTACATAAAAAATGCTTGCAATGTGTCAGGTTACTATGTAAGGAGGAAGCTAGACCATTGTGCCAGGTACAATGGCTTTTTAAAGAGATCCTATTTTTCAGCCTTGCTCTGCACTTCAGGTTTTCCCCATCTACACACTCTAAAGCTTTGTGAAGCCTAGTAGAAAAGGTACCATTTGCCTGGTTGCCATAGAGATGCCTTCTAGTAGGCCTCTTTTGTACAGGCTTTTGTGAAATCATTGGGAAGTTGTAGAGTAGGAGTTGCCTCGAAGTCTGTCCTTCTCTATTTACTTATAAGCATATAAGTGTTTCATATTTGGTACAATACCTGAGAAAGTTTTTGTGTTAATGGAGTAAAAAACAACCTTAAAACAATGAAAGTAAGAACATAAAAACACTAAAAACTGCATAACATAGTCTTTTTTAATCTATAAAAGCTATATTAAATTATGTGTCTTCACACCCTTGCTAAAAGTATGTCAGGGAGGGGGACCATAGTTCTTGTAGGAGTGTGTTCCACAGCTTGGGAACAAAATGGGAACAAGCCCTTTCATGCTTGTCTGGCAAATGCACCTCTTCAACTAAGAGTGCCCTCAGATGGGCCTCTCCTGTGGATCTTAATGTATAGGCAGTAACATAATAGGCTGGCCAGTTCCTTATATATAGAGATGCTAAACAACTGAGGGATTTAAAGGTTAGAATGGATACCTTGAATTAGCACCCAGTGCAAGTACCTCAAGATAGGTGTAATATCCTCCTGAAAACATGTACCAACCAGCAGCCACATTTTGCACAAGTCTAGTTTCTGGTTGCTCTTCAAGGGTGAACCCTCATAGAATTATTATTATTATTGTTGTTGTTGTTGTTGTTGTTATTATTATTATGACATTTCTATGCCGCCCCTTGCCAAAACCTCGGGGCGGCTTACAACACAATATAATACAATACAATACAAAAATAACAATATAAAATTAAAATTAATAATATAAAATAAATAAAAAATATAAAAGATATAAAAGAAGTTATAAAAGAAAAGTTAGAATGCATTGCAGTAGTCTAAGCATAATGTAACCAACGTTGCCAAGTCCGGCCAACTCAGGAAGGGCCACAGTTGGTGCACCAACTGTAAATGTGCAAATGCACTCATATGAACCTGATTCTTTAGGAGAACCACAATCCCTTTCAGAACAAGTTGAATCTCAATCATTGAATCAGCCTTCCTGTTGACCAACACCTCTGTTTTGTCTGAGTTTAACCTTGACTTGCTTACCCTCACCTGGCCTGTTATTGAATTTAGGATTTTGGCTTCCTCCTTGGTGCTAGGTGAAAATGAGCAATAGTGCTGGATGCCATCAGCCTAATGGTGGCACCTTACTCCAAAGCTCCAAAATGGCATCTTCCAGAGGTAAATGATATGCTAAATAATATGGGGGAACAAAAACAGACATTATAAGCCAATGGTTGTAGAGTTGAAGAGTGATCTTCAGCCCCACCTTCTGGACCCAATCTGACAAAAAGCACCAAAATCACTGCAAAAGAGAATCCCCAGGCCTACTCCTGCCAGCCAGTTTAGATGGATACCATTGATGATGGTATGAAAACCTGCCGAGAAAACCAGGAGAACTAAGATGGTTCTGCTCCCACCCCCCACAGCCGGTTTCCCGTGTAGGTCATTGACCAAAGTGGCCAAAGCCCACATCCCTCCCAAAATCCAATTGCAATGGGTCCACATAATCAGTATTATATAGGAGCATATAGAGTTGCAATGCCACTGCATTTTTGATGACTTTAGCCAATTATGGTGGTATGTCATATGCTTTCAAGAATTGTTAAAAACTAAATTCTTTACCTGAGTTTTCCTCAACCATTAATTTTCTTTCATGTTGCACTTTTATAATAATTTATTTTATAATTTATTGCAAACAGCTTTGGAGTTTTTGAATAGGAAGTGGTTTATACATTTTTTCAATAACTAAATAATTGATATCACACAAGAGTAATTTGAATATTAGAATTGTACTTTGCAGGATGGGTGGCCATGCAGATTGTTCTGCTTCTATACAGAAGTTCCCCAAATGCATATCAGGAAATAGCATATTAGCATCATTTAAAATTACCCAAGTGATTCATCATCTGTACTGATGCCTGCAGCAGCGGCTCCTTTTGGCATCTGAATACGTGCAATGTTTTCTTTATTTTTACCATCAGTCCAGATGTCATGGTCATGCATTAGCCACCAGTGTAATTCAGCAAGAATCCTAAGCAGTCTGCACTAAGCTGAGCTTTTCCACACTTGCAGAACCCAGCTCAGTTATTGTTTTTCTTCGAATGAAATGAATGTGTTTACTCTTGAGTGCGATGGGAACCATTTGCCATGATATTATAACAGTGGATTCTGGATATTTGACGTGATGGGGCATGAGCCTAAGCCCTTTTCACTGCAAAAGGCAAAAGTCTTCACCACCCTGGTACCCTCCAGATGTGCTGGACATATTTTAGGCGTTGATGCCCCACACTTCTGGAGGACATCAGCGTTAGAATGGCTGACCTAGAGAAGTGAGTTTCAGCAGGGTACTTCAGATGAAAGGGGGCTGGGTTGCTGCTCTGTTCATGGAAGGTCTGGGTGAAGTTGGAGATGGGGCATCCAGCTCCTTGTTACCTCTTAGTGCATGGAGGGTTTCTTGCTTCTTGGGGAGGGAAAAAGTAGCATCATCCTCTCTTCAGGTCCTTCTGCAAAATGGCTTGATGATCTATGAAGGTTGAACAATTGCAGATGGATTATGGAGCCACTTGACATGACACACAAGCTTGGATTTGTGCTGCAAACTGGTCTTTGTAGATTTCTGAAAAAGTGATATTATTGTTAGCTGAAGATTTATGTGCAAAACAATAACACATTTGGCTTGCTGTACACACTTGGCAAAATGCCATAACACGTGTACATATATGAATGTATTGCAACAGGCTTTCATTTCTCTAGCCATGTCTCTTTTATTTTGCAGAGCGGGCACATGCCTGCTGTCCGCATATGGGATGTTGCTGAGAGGACCCAAGTGGCTGAACTTCAAGAACACAAGTATGGGGTTGCTTGTGTGGCGTTCTCTCCGAGCTCCAAGTACATTGTCTCAGTGGGTTACCAGCATGACATGATAGTCAACGTTTGGTCCTGGAAGGTACAACTCGAGCAATGTTCTTTTTACTATTAGCATAGGCAGAAGTGGGCCCCACAAAAAAATGTTTCACTTTGCAGTGTCTCATTCAGGGTGTGAGCCAGCCATGTATCTCACGAGGATGGGGAAAAGGTCCTTTGGAGATGCTCTAGCGAGCTTCGTCTGAAAGACTTTAAACTGAGCCGGGGGGGGGGGTTCAGGCCCCCCAGGAACATGTCTGCACTGGACAAGTGTGGGGGGAGGATCAGGGCTCTGGGAGCAGGGTTTTAGAGATACTGCAGGGACTGACAAGACTCCTTCAGAGAGGGGCCAGGTATTAGGTAGGATGGGAGGAAGGAGGAGGCTGGGAACTCCAAGGAAAGGAAGCGGTGGGAAGGAGTTGAGGTGCATGTACACCAATGTTAGGAGCATGGGTAATAAGCAGGAAGAGCTTGAAGCTCTCCTGGGAATAGGAGGGTATGATCTGGTGGGAATCACAGAAACTTGGTGGGATGAAAGGCAAGTCTTGAATGTAAACATAGAAGGGTATCACCTTTTTAGAAAGGACAGGAAGGGAAAGAGGTGGGGGCGTGGCTTTATACGTCAGGGAAGGGATAGGATGCAGTGAGATAGAATGCAGCACAGATGGGGATTCGGTAGAGGCAGTCTGGGTGAAACTTAGGGGTTTTGACAGGGAAAGAGACCTGACAGTGGGGGTATGTTATCACCCTCTAGGTCAACTTGAGACCCTGGATGATGTCCTGACAGGCCAGATTCTAAGGATGTCTCGGGGGAGAAACACAGTAATTATGGGAGATTTCAATCTCCCGGATATTACTTGGGAGACTCACTCGGCAGTGACAGCCAGGTCACGTCGCTTCCTAGAAGCTATAGAGGGAGGGTTTTTCACACAGAGGGTCCAAGAGGCGACGAGGGGGGGAAACATCCTTGACTTGGTCTTGACCAACAGGGAGGAGATGATAGATGAGGTACAGATTAGGGGAGCTCTGGATGCAAGTGATCACTCCATCCTTTGCTTTGAGATCAGGGGAGCGCGGACGGGCAGCACGTCGAGCACTAGAAGCTGGGACTTCAAGAGGGCCAACTTTGGCCAACTGAAGGCCAGACTGGGGAAAGTCTCCTGGGATAGGTTACTGGAAGGTAAGCGAGTTGAGGAGGGGTGGATAGCACTCAAAAGGGAGGTTTTGGAGGCGCAAGCCTTGACGATACCTCTAGTCAGTAAGGTGGGGAGGCGGAGGAGAGTGCCGCCATGGATGCAAAAGGAGGTGGTTAGAGGGATTAGACGAAAGAGGAACCTCCATAGGAAATGGGTACTGGGGGAAGTAGACAAAAGGGTATACCGGGGGGAGGAGGCCCCTTGCAGAAGGATTCTTCACAAGGCTAAGGCTGATTATGAGCTGAGACTTGCCAAGAATATCAAGAGCAATAAAAAGGGCTTCTTTCAGCATGTAAATAGGAAGAGGAAGGGGAGACAAGTGGTGGGACCACTAAATAAGGAGGAAGGAGATCCAGTGACTCATATGAGGGAACAGGCACAGATGCTAAATGACTATTTTGCCTCTGTGTTCTCCCCAAAGAGGACGGGGGATATCCGCATAGGAGATTAGATGAGGCTGGGGACTTAGGGGCACTGATTAGACACACCCCCCTTGAAGTCGAGGGGCTCCTCAAGGCATTGGACATTACAAAGGCGCCAGGCCCTGACGGGTTACACCCGAAAGTACTTAGAGAGTTAGCAGGGGTTCTCTCACGCCCGCTGGCCTCCATTTTTGAGACCTCGTGGAGAATGGGTGATGTTCCAGAGGACTGGAGGGTGGCATCAGTGGTCCCAATTTTCAAAAAGGGTAGTAGAAAGGACATGGGGAATTATAGACCGGTTAGCCTTACGTCCATTTTAGGAAAAACAATGGAAAGGCTCATAATAGAGAAAGATCTAGTGATGCTAGACAGGGAAGGGAGGCTGACAGCCACACAACATGGCTTCTGCAAAAACAGGTCCTGCCAGACAAACCTTGTGGAATTCTATGACAAGGTTTTGCGATGGCTAGATGGAGGGGATGCAGTGGATGTGGTATACCTGGATTTCAGCAAGGCCTTTGACAAAGTGCCCCATGATATCCTGGTGGAGAAACTGAGGAGTTTTGGGATACACCAAAGCACTGTCCGGTGGATTAGGGCATGGTTGACTGACCGAAAGCAGAAGGTAACCATTAACGGGGAATCATCGGGATGGCGGCCAGTGACAAGCGGGGTCCCCCAGGGCTCTGTCCTGGGGCCGATCCTGTTTAATCTTTTCATTAATGACATGGAAGAAGGGGTGAACAGTCTGCTGATCAAATTCGCAGACGACACTAAAACTGGAGCAGTGGCCACAATTGAGGAGCAGGTTCTCCAGATCCAAAAGGATCTGGACAGACTATGGAAGTGGGCAGGAGACAACAGGATGGTGTTCAATGTGGATAAGTGCAAGGTCTTGCACTTGGGGCATAGGAGTGGGTGTCATAAGTACTGGTTAGGAGAGAAGTGGCTGGAGAGCAGCACTTGTGAAAGGGACCTCGGGGTGCTGGTTGACTGCAGGCTAAACATGAGTCAGCAGTGTGATGCGGTGGTCAAGAGGGCGAATGCCACCCTTGGTTGCATAGCCAGGAGTGTGGCTTCTAGATCAAGAGAGATATTACTACCACTCTACATGACTCTAGTGCGCCCACAACTGGAGTATTGTGTTCAGTTTTGGGCCCCTCGTTACAGAAAGGATATAGTCAGCTTAGAGTCAGTGCAGTATAGGGCCACAAGGTTGGTGGCCGGTTTGCAGGGGATGCCATATGAGGCGAGACTGAGAGAACTGGGTCTCTTCAGCCTGGAGAAGAGGAGACTCAGAGGGGATCTGTTGGCAACATACAGGTATGTGAGGGGATGTCACACGGAGATGGGTAGAGACCTGTTCTCCCCTGCAGAGGAAGGCAGGATGCGCTCCAATGGAGCAAAGCTCAGGGAACCAAGGCTCCATTTAGATGCCAGGAAGCACTTCCTGACAGTTAGGACCCCGAGGGTATGGAATGGGCTTCCCCGGGAGGTGGTTGAGGTCCCATCGGTGCGGGTGTTCAAGGATAGGCTGGACGTCCACATGGTGGGCATGTCGTGAGCAGAGCCGGCTGGCGCCGGAGGTCAGACTTCTGACTCTGTCTGTTTTCTATGTTTCTATGATACTCCATTTCAGTGGTTTTTTTCCTCTTTTAGTCCAGTTTTACAGATTTTTGTACTTCAGCAAACACTGGATTTCTTCCACAAGGCTGTTGATACCTCCTCTTTGTGTGTGGTGTCATTTTGGCTACACAGAGACTGGTGCTCAGATGGCTGATGAAACAAAATAGGCTGCCTCCCATAGCATGGAATGTTTATAGGAAAGGAATGTTGATTATTGCATTAGTTGTTCCCCAACATTGGGAACAGAGAAACATTTCACTGCGTTTGTTACTAAGTTGTGGAATGGGCATGATAAAATCAGGTAGCAGCTCAGCTGGAGATTTTCCACATTGGAAGATGGGCAGTTTATTTCTGTCACTTCCTCCTGCATATCCAAGGTGTACACAATGCAGAATCTCAGCAGGTTTCTTCTTCTTCTAATGATTATGTTAGATGGCAACTTGGGAAGCTCCCTTATTTTGAGTCAGGCCATTGGTCCAACTAGCTCAGTATTATCTTCATTGATTGGTTGTGACTTTCCAGGTTTTGTATCTGGGGACTTTCCCAGACCTAGCTGGACATGCCAGGAACTGAACTTTGAATCTTTGGTATGTAAACTACACACCTGACCACTAAGGCCACTAAGCTATGGCCTTTGCCCTGTCCACATGAGACAACAGCTTCTTTTCCCTGTACTAACCACTTACCCACTCTCAAATCAAAACCAGTCTCTGATGTACTTTGTTTGAAATAGGTAGTACACATTGTAAACTGTCTTTGGTTTCTCCTCTAGAAGTAAAATGTAATTATTGGCATATATAATTCTCCAAGCAGCATGCGTAGGTATGTTTTTCCTGAGGTTCCTTTTAAAAATTTGATTTCTCCCTGTGATACCCAGAAGCAGGCATTCTGTGATAGTTACTGTTCACAGAAGAAGTTGCTTCCTCAGGGAAAGAGATTCCTTTGATCAAAAATCCAAATAAATAGGAAGTTTTGTTTAAACATGAGCATATTTCATTGCCTGGTATGGTGTAAATGCATTCAGTATTGTGTTTGCCTAAGTAATCAGTACTGTGTTATGATGGTTACATATGGAAATTCATGCATAAGCATGTTTAGCACAAGGAAGACTAAAATGGAAAAAAACCTGTAACCAGCGCTCTAACCATCACACTACACTGACTCACACATGACTCGGCCACAGATGAATCTCAGGTCTAGAATTCTGATAATCAGATGCACATAAGCCTGCAGCTCCCGGATATATCTACCTAGGACCCAATGTAGGTTTTTTTCCTGAGTGAGTGAGTTATCTCTGCCTTCAGTAGCTTCAATTTACTTTCACATAACTTGATGTTGATGCCCCATGCAGGTGCTTAGCCCAGCAGAAGGCCAATGTGCATGGTTCTCCTCTTCCCAGAAAAGGGGGAGACTGCACAGATTGGGCAACTGTACAGCCGGACATTGATGTGTAAGCACTTACGACATGAGTGATGAGGTATCGGTTTGATTCAAGGATTTACAGCCAGACCAACAGCACATTATTTTTTTTTCTGGACTGATAAGTGTTTGAATCATGTGTTACTGAGTCCTGAGTTTGTGAAATAAAGCTCCCAATCTAGTATCTTGTCTAAAATGATGTATTATCACTTATAGTGTGTTGAACTTCATATTCCCTTAAATGGCTCAATCCCTTTTAGTCCATGATCATTTTGCCTCTTCCTGTAACAATCCTATCTAAAATATATTTCAGAAATCTACTCCAAACTGTAACTTTGTGTACAACTCAAATACAGAAAAGTTTCACCTTCAGTTTCAGAAAGTGTTGCAAATGTCAAAGTATAGTTGGCTGGCCATTTTGAAGTTGCTTCCCGTAACATCCTTGATTGTTATATAAAGAAGAGTATGAGCACATGGTATGCATTGTATATATGCATGTGCACATATACTTCTAACAGAACAGGTTACAGTCTTATAACTGGACTATAGGCCAGCTCTTTTTTTTTTTTTAAAGCTAAGGCTATGGGCATCCATGCCCAAATAGGCTTCAGTATTATGTTCCTGTTCATTTCACATCAACATTTTCCATCCTTTGTAGTATAACGAATCTGTACTTGAGCGTGTTTTGAAATGTAGTGATATACAGCCATATCTTTAAAAGTTCGAATGGTGGAGTCCCCTACCATAAATATATGGCATCCCAAGGGTAGTAAGAATAAGCCTATAAATATCTTCCAATGGCTGAAGTGACAGAATCCTTTTCGAGATGAAGTATGGTAGGCAATAGCTCTTTCAATATGTATATGCTGCATCTGGGGCCACGTATATACAGACCTTATAAATTATATGCACAAGGATCTTGCAAACAGCAGGGCCCCAGCTACATTTAGAGTCTTCGCACTCAGCACATGGAGGAGGGTGAGAAAGGTTTCTCTCTCACTCCTGTTATCTTCCCACCTCAAATTTGTAAATACAAATCTGAGATGCATTACTTAAGGCTTACACTTGCAGGGAGAGTCCCTGGAATTTATTGATGGAAGAGATTTGACTTGCTTGAATATTTTACTTCCAGAAAAACATAGTTGTGGCAGCCAATAAGGTCTCAAGCAAAGTGACAGCCGTTTCATTCTCTGAGGACTGCAGCTACTTTGTCACTGCTGGAAACCGGCACATCAAATTTTGGTATCTGGATGACAGCAAAACCTCTAAGGTAAGAGACAGGAGGAGATGATACAGGTCTGTCAGCAATGGGGAGGGCTGCTGTGGTTGATGCCTCCATTCAGTTTTGCCTTTTGCCTGCAACTGATTCTTTTGTCATTTCCTAAGCAGCTTCAGACATTCAGCAAATAGTTTGTTACCTTGGTTGATGGCGCCTTTTGTGGGGGAGAAAAATGCTTAATAGGGAATGCTAGCTTCACTCAACATATGTGAGCCGTTCTTGTCAACACAGATGAGTCCTCACCTGTTGTTCCATTTTGCCAGGTGAATGCTACTGTCCCCTTGCTGGGGCGTTCCGGTTTGCTTGGGGAGCTGAGGAACAACTTCTTCACAGATGTGGCGTGCGGCAGGGGTAAAAAAGCAGACAGCACTTTCTGTATCACTTCATCAGGTCTCCTGTGTGAATTCAATGAAAAGAGGCTGCTGGACAAGTGGGTGGAGCTGAGAGTAAGTTCCAAATTTGTAGCACTTGGAATTCTGCTCCTGGGGGAGTAGCAGGGGCAACATCATGTTGCAGCCCATACAGTTTGAAACTAGGGGGATGAAGAGGCCGAGGAGCCGCATTATGCACCTGACCTGTCCTCACTCTTGGAGTGGACAGACTTTTCCCTCAGGGGATTAGAAGGTGCACCATGGCAGAGGCCCTGCCTAGGGATGCCAGCAAAAATAGCCTCACTCAGAGATGGCAGGCTCAGTGTGTTCAGCATGTGTAGGTTTGCTTGAAAGTTTTGCTCTGTCAAATGAAGGGACTGCTTTTTGGTAAATCTGTGAAACAGTCAGTGAGGACCAATTATGCCTGTCCCAGTTGCATCTAAAGTGGTATCCAAAATTTAAAGGGCACAAAGAGGGCCATGGACACTGGGTGCTCATCCTTCCATTTTGCTGGCCACTCTTGCTACTGTAGCGCTTCTCTTCTAGCTGGGCTTGGATACTAAAAGGGAACCTGGCTCGGGAGCAACACCTGAGGTGGAAGGCATGTTTAGCATCTCTTCATGGGGGGATGGGCACTTCACATGTTATCCCCAGTATGCATTACATGTAAATGGGGTGGTGTCACAGGTACTTTGGCCTATTCTTGAGGACTAGAAGAAGTTAAAACAACTGTAAAAATAGAGCACTGGGGCAATAGCTTGCAGCAGTGTCCCTTAAATCCTTCGTTCCTCAGGCACAGTGTTGCCTTAAAGTTGTTTCTGTTCTTCCATCACGATGGGGGAACCTATTTCATGGGAAATGCAGTTTCATCTGCATGTTACTGCAGTTTTTCTTTCAAGAAAAAGAACTTATTTATGAAGGTCAACATGCTTAAATTCATATAGTATATTTATATAACTTTTTCCATTCAGCTTTGAATTAGTGCTACACTTTAGGCAAGTATAGAAAATAGGGGCTTGTTTGCTGGCCAAGAACAAAGTGATGGCAGTTGCGGTCCAAAAGACAGACAAGGCAGCAGGTTAGGGGAAGGATATACTGTGTGAACTGACTTCATGCTATAAAGTGATTCTAAAAGTGCTAATTAGAGCAGTGGTTCTACAGACGCCTGGCAGCATGTTGCTGCTGAACAGCATTGAGGAAACTCTCTTCCGTGTGAATTGGTAGAGTTTTCTGAGTTTAACAAAACATGGGAGATCCCCTAACCCTTTGTTCACTCTCCAAGTTGAATGTCTACCTCTCTTTTCCTCTTCTCTTTTCTGCACTGAAATCGCTGTTTCTCTTTTACTTAGAACACAGACAGCTTCACAGTAAGTCAGAATGAAGTCACGCCTCCAGCAATCTACTTTCCCATCATGCCTCCCATTTGTTGTCATTTCTTTTTTACAATTCTGCAAATTGCAGTAGAATGTGTTTCTTTCTTTTTTAATGGAATAAGGCTGAGTCTAAATCAGGAAGTATGTTTATGCTTGAACCACAGGGTTAACTTCCTTTCCTGATACAGAAAAAGTCTTTCATAATGCATACAAGTGGGATCTGAAATAATAATAATAAAGTTGCAATCCTTAATATTCATGTTTGCTGTTCTAGCGAGACATGCCCTTCTCCATGGTTCTCCATTCCATTACCCCTTCCACCTGGTTCTCTGTCTTTTCCCAAACAGTTGTTTGGCATGGTGTGGCTACTGAGCATGCACAGTCCTCATCAGGGAGCTTTTGGATCCTTACTTTTCTCAATATTTATTTTCATATTGCTGCACCCCTAAGCATTCTTCCAGGCTTGCTGATTTCCTGATCTTGTGCTTGAATCGTTTGGTTTTGGCTACATAGGATGTGTTCTCATGTCATGCCAATCCACCACCTGAACAAACCACAGTGCACCTGACAGCAGCTCAGCTTCTCATGACTGGTTTGCTCCCTCCTTCTCCCTTGGTCTTACTGTGGGCATCACAGGGAACACCACAGTGGTACTGATTTGCCTCCCCGTCCCCACCACAGTTGTGAGCAATTTTGCCCTTGTCATGGCTTTCTTCCCTATCAAATCTCCCCTTTAAAGGGGTGGGGTTTTGGGGTCCTGTTTGACAAGGCTCCCCATGGTTTTTTCCACAAGGATGTATGCAGACAACCCGAACATCAAAAATAGAGGGATTTGTGGCAGTAAAAGGTCTGCTTAGAATAGTGATCTAGACATCAAGGTTCACTCCTCCACTTGCTCCCTTTTTTTCTGACTTGTGTTTTCTCATGATTTGTGTGTTGGCTTTGGGAAGAAGCTTTCTCAAGTTTGTGTCTTGTGTCCTCAGACTACAGTGGCGAACTGCATCTCGGTGAGCCATGATTACATCTTCTGTGGCTGTGCTGATGGTACCGTGCGGATTTTTAATCCTTTAAACCTCCACTTTGTGACGACACTTCCGAAACCACACTTCCTGGGAACAGACATTGCCAGTGTCACTGAAGCCAGGTAGGAAAAGGAACATTCCCGGCAGCTCTTTTCTCATGACATTTTGGTGGGAAGTTTTCCTGCATGTTGGCACATAATGGTTACAGTACTTGGCTTCTTGTGCCTGTTGTATCCTATTGTAACAGATGTAAAGAGAGCCCACAGCTCAGGACAGAAGCACATACTTTGTTTGTAGAAGGACCGAGATTCCATACCTGGAATTTGCTGTTCAAGGCCCTCGGGTAGCAAGTGGAAAAATATCTCTTCCTTTGGAAGGAACTGCCAGGCTGCCTAGCCGCCCTCCCAAGTCTGTTGCTCCCTATGAATGTTATGCTACAACTTCAGTGGCCAGTGTCTGGAGATACTTGGAGCTGTAGTCCATTGCATCTGGACATCAGCTGGGGAAGGTTGACATAGACCATGTGGCATAAGGCAGCCTTTCTGGCTAATGAGGTGAGATAAAATTCCAGTAAGTAAGTAAGTAAGTAAATAAGTAAATGTGCCAATTGCCTTACAAGCTACAAGGCAGCTTTATATATTAATATGATCTAACAGTGATAACATGTTTCTGCTGACTTGCAAATATGTGGTTCCTTGTCTTTTTGTCTCAAAATTGTTCCTTTTTGCTCTCTTCAATTATTTAAAATAAAACTTTCCACTTCCCTCACTCCCTTCACTTATCTTCCTATGGGGAGTTGAAATTGGTGAGACTAGTTGCCCTTGAGTGTTGTGAGAAATCTGGAACATAGGTATGAAAAGCTCTTCTTTTGCCCTCTTAAAGTGATTTGATTAAGTGGACATCTGTCAGGAAACAAGCTTGAGACAAAGAGGCATTCAGTTCGCCTCTTCTTTAACTCCTGGCCTTCCCCTGCTCCACACAGTGGGCTAGCTTGCGCAAGGCAGGTCTTGTTAATAAGCCATGGTGTCTGGTTCACCACCCATGCATGTGTGGGTTGGATGCCAGCTGATTTCCCTAATTGCTCTCCCCAGGTGTTGGGTGTTGTTGTGATGTTCAGCCCCAGTGAGAGTGTAGCTATCTGCAATAGTTAACTAGCCACCCAGAACCTCCTGCAACTTGCATGACAGATTGTGGGTTCTGGGTGGCTTCTTGCCCACTGCAACAGGCATGTCAAACCACACTGGGTAATTCAGCAGCGGCACCTCCCCCCCCCCCCCATCAGCATGCAATTAGCACATGCAGATACCTAACAAGCCACCATAGTGTATTAACTACCCTTCAGCTGTGCAGACCTAGTCTCTGCCTTTCCATTTTGAAAAGGCAAAATAATCTGCAAACTAAAGAAGTGTAAGTCTGTGCAGCTGTAGAAGCTGCAGCTTTAAAAGCCACACACATGCATAATGCTGTTCTTTGGCATGTTTGAACAGCCTTTCTGAACAAGGCGTTATAGTATATTTGTGATTCCTCACTCCAGGCAGTTTGCCATCCTCTAGAGATGCTTCTGTTCCAAAGAGGACATTCTGGTGTGTCTTTGAATGGCACCATAGAGCCATCATATATTTGTGCAAAACTACCATGCAAGAGCATCAGCTAGCAGTTGTGAAGAAGGACATAGAAAAAGCAGAGGAAGAAAACCTCTGAAAAATCATGTCTAAGGGAGCCGATTTTCATCCCATAAAGAAAGAGCAGTTCAGCAATGGAACCAGTTACCTAGAGAGGCTGAGGGCTTTCCCACATTGGAGGCATGCAAGAAACAGTTGGACTGTTCTCTTTCAGGGACGATTTAACTTGGAGTCCTGCACTGAGCAGTAGGTTATGTATGAATTTAGACATACATCCTACCCCATTAGCCAAAAAGGTTCTCTGGACAGGTTGGACTTTAAGGTCATATAGGCGCCTTCCAACTCTACTATTCTGTGATAGTATGATTCTTATCCTGAAGCAGAAGACTTGATAAAGTGGTACCTTAGAGTCTCTTATAGGAAAGCCCTTAGTTAGTTCCTTTTGGATTCCAATTTTGTCTTGCTTAGGACTTCTACGGGGAAGGCAGAGTGAATAACTAAGGACAGCTGCATCTTAAAACTGGGTGGATTTGAAAAAGGAAGCTAGCCTCAGAACAGGGAGACTGTTCCATTTCTAAAGGCTTCATGTTGTCAGATTACTTGATCAAGAAAGCCTGCATGCAGGATATTTTTTCTTCTCCTTTTTAACAGATGCTATTAGCCCCATGCCTGTCATTTCTCTTCAAGCAGTTAAAATTACATGGTTCTAAAGTATGAGGCTTGGGAACTGATCATAATTATAGCTGCATGTATTTTATTTCTACTTTAATAGAAGCTGAAACATACAGTTGTCATAACCAATTCACGCAGTGTGTCCTTTGTCTCAAACCCTACTGACAGCCCATGGCTTCATTAATTAATTGTATTGTATTGGCTTTCAGTACAATCTCTCATGCATTCTTTGGCCTCCGTTCTTAAAATCTGACCCTTCCAAGTGCCCTAATGCTATTGATTTGAAACAATCTCCTTGTTGGTACTTGTTTGAAGTTCCATTATTCTGTGCATTTCAGTTGCTGTATTTGAATGTGAGCAGCAATAATGGCCTGCTGCTTCTCTGCTGTTTTCCAGTAAAATACTTGGACCACGGTCTGTTTAGAAACTGATGTATATCTGAGATGGGGCTATATAATAAGCAATAGTAAAACTTACTAGTCAGAGCAGACCTGTAGCATTTGCATCTGGGAGCTTCTTGCCCCCCCCCCACCCCAATGTGGAGGAAACCCCTTTGTTATTGTTTTTATTCAGTAAGCTATTGCATATCTCAGATAATGCCTTCTTTGGTCTGTCAACTCATATTTGTACCATTGAGCCAGTGGTCTGATATTTCTTCCTCCTTGCCTGATCCAGTCTTGTAAAAATGTATAATTTGAAAACATCCAGAACTGGCTGATGTTAATAGATGTGGCCTGATGACATAGATCCAGGAACGAACACAACATGCCCACAGAGATGGGGGCAGCCTTCTTCAGAGTTCTCAAGGCTCTGAGGGCTAATGATGTAATTGGCTTATATTTCCTGTAGAAAAACAAGTTGGTGCCTGTTCAGCTTTTCATCCTTGGTCATCACCTTTGATGAAATAGGAAGCCTGTCAGGCGTATTGGCCAGTAATTAAAAGAATCTACTCATGATCTCATAAGCCCATCCTAAGTATGATATGTTAATATTTTGCAGAAGTGTTAAAAGCTGAAAATTGCTAACAGCCTAATTTATAGATCCAAATCTTGAAACATTTACTAATTTTTCACATTTCATGGAACACAAATCAAACATGTAAACCAATGCTGCAGAACACAGGTATCAGTTACATTTTCTAAAAGTAAGTAAGACAACAGTTCTGCTTGTCACTGTCCCAAAAACCTACATGTCACTAGTTAGATCTGATTGTTTAGAACTAGTAGCTACAAAGAAGCTGAATTTTTTGCTGCTTCTATGAATATTTTAAGATGCGGATGCAATTTGTGTGGACTTAGCATTCACTTGTGCAACTGCATCCAGGCTTAAATGTGGTATCTTTTAATATGGTCTTCAGATAATTACCTAGCAGAAAATAATTGCCTGCTTATTCAGGGCTCAAAAACTCCCATATCTACTTTTCATTAATCAAAAGAAATCAAGGCTTCTTTATATAAGCTCACATGTAATTTGTGGATGTCGCCACAGGAATGTTGCACAAATATAAAGGTCTTTGTAACTAAAAAGACCCATTGTGCTACCTTTTGTGCATAACTTATGCAGGAGATAATGTTTTGAGGAATGAGAGAAAAGATTAATATGCAGCTGGAGAAGACTAGCAGGCAATGCTAGGAAACCTCAGGTAATGAAGAAGGGGAAGCAGAAAGGAAGGGTGACCAGAGGGGAAGGGAAAGAGCTCTGTACTTTTGACAGTGGTGCATAAGGGGAAAACATTGCAGATGCTACCTGACATGGAGGAAAGGTGGTAAGAAAAGTGACATGTCCCAGAATTCCCATTTCTGGAATTGTTAAAGGAACTAGAACACAAAATTTGGAGTGGAAAAAAATGAGTTGCAACCACAGAAAGGAGAGGAGAAGGAGGACACTGTGATTTGCAAAGCAAGCAGTCCTGGGAAGAAAGACACCCACCCTTTTCCTCTGGAACTCTCCCCAGCTGGTTGCTGCAGCTGTTGCAGCATGGCTGGCCCCCACGAGCTCGGCATCTCCCCACTTCCTCCTTGCCCTTCAAAATAGAAAGGCTTGGGGAGAATCTCCAAGCCATAGCAGGTGTAAGAAATGGGAAGCGATGGGCCTGGGAATTCAGTGTGAGATGAAGTGTGAGAAGGAAAGTAAGGCTTTGTCAGTGAGGCCAAGGGAGGTCATCCTCAGCAGAGCTTGCAGAGGAGATGGGGAAAACCAATACCACAAGATTAGTCACGCCTGATGGTATGGACTAGCAGTGTTCTGTCCACTTCTGGTACCTGACTTCCTGAGTGAAAAAGTAATACCAGGACTGCAAGAGTAGTTATTTGCCTTCCTGTTGCTGCCCTGGGCCAGTGGATGAACAAGACAAAGTTCACAGATTGCATGTGGCCACCTGGCCTTAAGTGTGGCCTTCGTTGCTCTTGAATTGGTCACTGCTGCTAAGGCAGCTGCAAAATGATTCATGCTGTGCATCTCGCTTTCAGCCACCTTTGGCCATTTCAGGCCACTGCTGTGTTTGCTTGTTCTTCTGCGGCTTGTTTTTGTCAGCATAATACAACAGTGTGGCCAGTGGGTTTTCCAAAGGGTTGAAATCATCTTGCAGAATCCTCAGAGCACCACTGCAGTGCACAATAAAGTCAGTTCATATTTTCAGTATAAAGACTGTTTCAGAAGCATTTTACTGGGCTAACTTCTGTCCGCAGAGCACTGTGGAAGCATTCAGGTTACATCATCTCTTCTGGGGATGGGCGGGTGGTGTCTGTAGGTGCTACAGAATGCCAAAATGGTCAAACATAGCAGCTTTACAGATTCCTTTCCCTTCTAAGAGCATATGTAGGTGGGGGAAAGTTCTATTGTCACTTTGTCTGCAGACTGGGTTGTGTGGACTCATCCTATACATATGCCCCTGGCTGGACCTCCTGAAGTTTCCCATCCCTAATGTATATTTAGCCCTTTGAACACTACAAATAGCTATAAACATGTAGCATGTAGTAACTGGTTGTTGTTGGAACACCAGGAAACCTTCTTTGTTCCTTTCCAGTTTACTTTGTTCTTTTTTATACTTCCTTTGAAAATCTATGATTTAGCATCTAACCACCATGCTGTCTTTTCACAGTCGGCTCTTCTCCAGTGTGACTGATGCCAAGTATCCAGACACAATTGCCTTGACCTTTGACCCCAACAACCAGTGGCTGTCGTGTGTTTATAATGACCACAGCTTGTACGTGTGGGATGTCAAAGACCCCAAGAAAGTGGGCAAGGTTTATTCTGCCTTGTACCATTCTTCATGTGTCTGGAATGTTGAGGTGAGCAATGGTTTCAAATGTGATATGGCGGGCAGGGAAGCACTCTTGGTGCAGGAGTAACAAGAGCGAATGCTGGTCGCACTGCTGACTGGTATCAAAACGGAAATGCTTCAGAATTAAGGAGCTAATTCTCTTTATGGGAACTGTCCCCAGACAATCTTTCTTTGTTGTTAATGAGTTTTCTCCACATGCTTGGGTTCAGGCTATGAAAAGAAGCAATATTCAGTAGTAACTGGCTAAACCTATGGGAGTGGAAACTAATTGCATGGTGGGGGGATGGAAAGAAGTGGCTGCTGGTGGTGGGGGGCACTCTTCCTTCTCCAGCAACTAAAAATAGTATAAAGGAGCAAACTCAAGCTTTTGCTGTTAATAATTTAAACTCCCTCTTAAGGGAAGTCCTTCCAGCCACATCCTGTGTGGGTACAAAGGCGATGCAGTCTCTATTGATCTTCCAATTGCAAGCATATACTTAAGAGATCGCTTGACCCCACACTTGTCTCTTTGGTTGCTGTGCTTGCCAGGTGTTGCCCTCTTAATGGTATCCAAGGTTTTAGAGGTCTACATTGAACCACCTTGGCTCAGAACAGGACCATTAATGGCATAGAGCCCTCCATCTGGAAGTGCTGCTGCTACAAATTGGTAGTGCAATTCTTGTGGGTTTTCAGCACCAACTGAAAACATGCTTTTTCTAACAAACACTCCCAGGAATGTAGTACTACCTGCATTTTATAATAATATACAGTAATTATGATCTAATTCTGCATGCTTATGCATGGCTTAGAAATTTATTTTAATATAAGTGATTCATAAAGATTGTTAAATAGATAAATGAATAATGCATAAAGGAACAGAAGGGGGATGTGTTTAGTGAGCAACTTGAAGGGGAAATGTTGCTTGTTGCTTTCATGAAATTGGTCTATGATTCAGATCCCTAATATACACATGCGCTGAGTACCTCTGTCTGTCCTGGCCTGCTGCGCTGTTGCCAGGAAATTTGCTCCCTGGGATTATTTAGAGAAAGAACAAAATTTCGCACTTTTAAGCAGCTTCAGTTTTACCAGATTCCCAAAGATCACAAGAACAGCAGAGTGCTGCCCCCTGCTGGTGCATGTGTGTTTGTGTAAGACTGGGGGTGTGTAAAAATATTTCAAAATCTCATGAAAAATCCTTTCTTCTTTCTGTTCCGACCAGGTCATTTTCTGTTAATGGAATGAAGATAGAAGTCATCTAAGGGAATCGGGTTCAATGCTGGACAGGGCAGGCCTTATGTACCTTAATAATGCATAATAAGAAATTTTATCAGGAGCACTTTAGGTTGTAGGGGTGTAAAAAAGCATGAGTTGCCAAAATGGCCTTGTTTGTGCAACTGCATCATGGTAAAGAACCCTCTTCTCTTGAATTTGGTCCTTCTTTGAAGTGAAACAGTTTATTAATTATTACATTTATTATGTTTTAATAAATAGCCTCTCTTTCTGTAGCAGAAAGGGCAGCAACAATTGTTGCACACACACACACACAACATTTAAAACATACTTTGCTTTGTTCTTTGCATGCTTTCAGGTGTACCCTGAGGTGAAGGATAGCAACCAGTCTTGCTTGCCCCCAAACTCTTTCATCACCTGCTCCTCTGATAACACCATCCGTCTCTGGAACACCGAGAGCTCCAACATCCATGGTTCTGCTCTGCATCGGAATATACTAAGCAATGTAAAAATCTCCTTTGCTCTGGAATGCATCTTGTTTGCTTGTGAATGTAAGACAAGAAGAAGAGGCTAGCCAGTTTGATACTGGATGTTCATTCTAGACAACGTAGCTTTAAATTTCATTTACAGATATAGATGCAACAAGCAAATTAAGCTTCATTTGTGAAGGCAGACTTGGATGTGTCCAACAACTACAATTTACATTCTCACATCAGTTTTTTCTTTCAGAACGCTTTGTGCCCCAGCAAGTATAACCAAACACTGCTACTTCATCATGTCAGAATGCATTTTATTCATATAATATTCTGTTTTGTTTTACCAAAAGAGCAGTGAGTGGTCAACTAAGCAGTCCTCTGCAGCTGAATTTATTTATTTACTTATTTATTTAAAATATTGTATGCTGCCTAATTGTGTCACAGCAACTCTGGGAGGCTATAATGTGGGAGGTTGGTATCTTTGTGAGTGCAGGTGAAGGGAAAACAGTTTCTATTGTGTAAGTGGCATAATATTATATATCTGCTGTAGGACACATTCTTTAAAAGAAAATTGAACTTAGTTATTGATTTAAGGTTCTTCCAGAATTGAATGAATTAGATATAGAAGGGTCTATTTTAATCTCTCCCCTTTTCCCAGTTACAAGTGTCTTTCCAGCCTAGCAGATATTGTTGATTTGCTGCTCTGAAAAAAGCAATCATTATTGTTTCTATTCTGAGTTTGCCTTTGCTTACATCTGTTTGCTTCATATGGAGCTTGTTGGTTTTTATTAGGACTTGATGAAGATTATCTACGTAGATGAAAACACTCAGGCCCTCCTGGACACAGAATACAACTCGGGTGGAGGTGTGGACAAGGCTGATGCCCAGGCCCTAGATACAAAAGTAGGGATTCGCACAGTGTGTGTGAGTCCTACCGGGGAGCACCTGGCGTCAGGTGATAGGATAGGCACTCTCAGGTAAGTTTTGGAGTTCTGGAGAGCTTTGTGTTTGGTAATAACATAGCACTGAGAGATCCTTTCTGACCATCCTCCTGGTTTCAGGATTTATGAATTAAAACCCCTGAGAGAGATGCTGAAGGTAGAAGCCCATGATTCTGAAATCCTTTGTCTTGAGTACTCCAGACCTGAGACAGGTAATTATTATTACACTATATTTATATCCCACCATTTTTCCTCTTGTGAGGAACCCAGTGCAACTTAAACAGCTCCATTTTATCCTCACAACAGCCGTATGAGGTAGGGTTAGACTAAGAGTGAGTGACTAGAACCTGGATCTTCCAGGTGGCCCATCCAACACTGTAGCCACCACACCACATTGGGTTTCACAATGCACCATGCTGGCTCTCACTGGTAAGAAGAGCATAGCCTTGACTTTCTCCTTGTTTGATTGCTGGCATCCTAAGTTGAACTAGTTATGTTCTCTATCCAACACTGTTAGTAGATTCACAACATGAGACATAAAAGATGAAAGTATGGAGGAAACATCGTCTTTAGATTTTAAAGTCGAAGCCATCACATTTTGCCTAAATTGCACAATGAACATGGAAAATCATTGTACCAAATCAATTACAGTCCTTCTTAAGTTCAGTTTGAGAGAAGTTAAAAAAAACCCCTGTGGAACAGAATGATTTTCACTTTGACATCATCCCTCTCTTCTCTTCATGACAGGATTGAAGCTGCTAGCCTCAGCCAGTCGGGACAGACTGATCCATGTTTTGGATGCAGGGAAAAATTACAGCTTGCAACAGACCCTAGATGAGCATTCATCTTCCATCACAGCAGTGAAATTTGCAGGTAATTTGGTAATGCACTTTTGCCTTCATTAGTCCAGGTCAGCAAGCCAATTCTTGGGTGTGACTGTTGAGGTCGTGTTCACTTCTCCACACTTCCTCTGCATAAGATCCTGGTTCTTTTCCGTTCTTCCTCTGGAGGATTAGAAAAGGGCCACTTAAGGAGAAGATTACTGGGATCCTTCCAGATGAGGCTTTAATAGCGTTGTCACCTTGCCTCATTCGCATAATTGGGGGGGTCATCCAGATGGTGACATCTTTCAGTTATCGTCCCATATTTTTCTACATCTTCTTCTCTCAGTTTGATTACTGCAGAAATCTGTTAAAGGGGGGAAAAAATGGAATCGCCACACAATGCCTTGTGATTTTGTAGATTTAATAGAAAATCTATGAAAATGTGCAAAAACTGGGAAAACTCCTAGTTAGTATAGAGTGAGCACAAAAAATAATTTACTGCATAATGCTTTGTTGCTGTTGTCATTGTTGTCGTTGTCATCATTGGATTTATATCCTGCCCTTTTTCCTCTTGTGTGGAACCCAAGACACTATACATTGCTCCATTTTAACCTCACAACGTCCCTGTAAGGTATGCTAGACTGAGAGTAAGTGACTGGCCCAAAGTTACCCTGTGAGCTTCATAACTGAATGGATGCTTAGAATCTGGAACTCCCAGGTCTCCAGTCCAACACTGTAACCACCGTGCCACACGGGCTCTCTAAATGCTAAGCACTTATATGATCAGTAAAGCATCTTCATCTGGTTTCTCTTTGTGATTTGCCTTATATCACTTGTGCTTTGACTCTCTTGCATATTTTCAGATATAGGCACCTACCCTCTATCTGTGGTTAGGATGTAAGGCCTAATGTGTGAAGGTCAAGTAAATGCATGGTCCTGCCTTGCAGCATCTGTAGAAAGCTTTTTGGTCCCACCTGACTTGCGATTTTACAGTGTAAATGAAACACCTTTTACACCTTGTTCTTCAGATGCTCAGCTCTCCTAAAAAGGACATGGCATTCCTTTCACCCCTCTTCTCCTGCAGTGAAAAGTGCAGCAGTGGGTTGCTGTGTTCCATCCCATAGAGCAAAGCCTAGTGGGAATTAGTACTGTGCTTCTAGCCTTTAAACTAACATGTTTGCTCTCTCTCTTTCTCTCTCTGCCTCCCCAAGTTGTATTTTTCCAGTATCTACTATGTTTTACCCTGGGGGAAGAAATACTATTATCTTGCTCCCTGAGTATATAAAGTCTTCTAACAATTTGAGACTGTGCATTACATTTTTATTTCCCTGGTCCTAGTATTTTGTAATAATAGATGATGAATAGACCTCTGCAGCTGTCTGAGATTCAGTGTGATGTTGTAGACACAGTATATGCCTTGGGTTTGGGAAGCTTCTCTTCAAATCACTGCTCAGACAAGATGCTGACTGGATGATCTTGGACCAGCCACACATTTTCAACCTAAGCTACCTCCCAGGATGTTTATGATGATCAAATGGTATGAGTGCTTTTGCTGTGCTCCACCACAGCATTGACTTTGGTCCAAAACCCAGACCCCTGTATCCTGAGATAACAGGTCAGAGAAGGTCTGGTTTCAGTAGGGTATTATAAGGTTCTCGCCTCCCTCCCTTCCTCCCTATTTGTATAAAAGCTGCCCATTAGTAGAATGCTCATAGGACCTAGTTCTCCAGAAATGCCCAAGGAGTCAGCTCTCCAGTGTCTGGAAGAGGCTGCATTAGGATCCTCACCTTCTGAGGACACCAGCCATGAAAATATATACCACTGTGCTGGGGCCACTGCAGCTTAAGGCTGTTGAAATGGTCCAGGCTTCTTTAAAAGAAAAGGCTTCAGTTAGTAGGGATGTCAATATAACCAAAAAAGCCAAAAACATACTTAAGGCTCAGTTAGAATTTGCAGCATTTGTTGTTACATCCCGTCAAGTTGTCTTTGACTTGTGGTGGCCCCGTGTATGAATGTTCTTCAGAATACCCTGTTCATGATAGCCTTGTTCGTTTCAGCTCTTGTAAATTTAAGGCAGTGGCCTTCTTTATGGAATCAATCCATCTCATATTTGGTTCTCCTTTTCTTCTTCCGCCTTCACCTTCTCTAGCATGATTATCTTTTCCAGGGAGTTTTCCCTTCTTAGGATGTGCCCCAAGTATGAGCAGCATATGAGAGCCAGTGGGGTGTAGTGGTTAAGAGCATGGGACTGGGGCTCAGACGATCTGGGTTCTAGTCCCCGCTCAGCCATGGAGCCAACTGGGTGACTTTGGGCCAGTCACAGGCTCTCATCCCAACCTACCTCACAGGGTTGTTGTTGTGGGGATAAGATGGAGGAGATGTAAGCTGCCTTGAGCCCTTTGTAGGAAAAAGGCAGTATAGAAATCAAAATAATACATACATACAGGCAAGTTTTTCTGGCTTTCAGCACTTGGATCTCTCATTGTGCTGTTCTGTTTCCTGCCTCTCTGGGAAATTTGACTGCAGCTTGATCTGAATCCGCTGTATTTGCCTTGCCCAAAGTCCTCAGTTGAAACCAGACCTCACACTTCCCGAAAATGCCGGGCGCTCACTATGATGACAAGACTTGTTGGCTGAAGCAGAAGGATCCATCTTGTGCTCTCAAATTGGATGGATGGAGCTTGGTTTGCTGTGGTGAACAGGTTCATAAGTGTGTTCCCCTCTGATTCCAGTGGGGGATTTCTCCAAGCTTAATTGCAGCAGGAGCAGAGAAGACAGCACATATGGGGAAGGGTATTGCAACTATCCTTGAAAAAAGCCTTCCATTTGCCCCAGTGAAGGGCTTTTTCCTAGATAATTACAGTGCAGGAGAACATGGTTGGAAGGCTGGACATTCCCTACCTCATCCTCCCATATAGACCAGCAGGAGCATAACTGTAAGGGAGGAGTATAGACAAATGGAAGAAAATAGAGGGCAGTTTTGTGGCATGTCTGCTTCTTCATGGCCTATATATTTTTCTCTTTCTTCAGCCAATGATGGAAAGGTACGAATGATCAGCTGTGGAGCAGATAAGAGTATCTATTTCCGCACTGCACAGAAGGTAATTCCATTAGAGTATTCTGTCTCTTTATGCTGCTTGTGCAGCTGAGCTATTTTAAAAGTGAAGGTAGAAGCAGAAACTTTGGATGATGTTCCAGGCCTTGCTTCTTTCCATTCTGGCTTTATGATACATTTGTAAGAAGCTGTGTAGGATGCCATTCAGCCGCTGTCTAACTTGTACTGTGGGTAGCACAACTCTTCTGTGTAGGCAGAATATCATCCATATACATCGAGACCGTCTGGTTTGTATTACTTTTTATGTTTCCTATGCTTAGACAGGTGATGGGGTTCAGTTTACTCGTACACACCACGTTGTTAGGAAGACCACTCTTTACGACATGGATGTGGACCCGAACTGGAAGTATGCTGCTATTGGATGCCAAGACCGTAACATCAGGTTGGTTCACTGGGTGTCATGGAAACTTCTCTGGCTCTAAACTTACCTATAAAGCTTACTTAATTTCACTGGTAAACAGCACTTTGCTTTATAGTGATGTTATTAGCAAGGAATTTAATCCCAGCCTTTCTGGGTTATGCAAATATAGCACAAAAGCTGAACAGAAAATACTTGCTGGGTTTTTAATTGAGGAAAAAAAAACAAATGGAAACCTCCTGCACTCCTTTCTTGAAGAAACCCATCCAACTTTTATTTGTTAATATATATTTATTGGTATACTTCATTTGTTAACTTACAGCCATATATTTTTAGGATTTCATAGATTTTAAAATTGTCAATATACAATTTCATAATTTAATACTATATGGTTATTAACAAAGACATTTCAGCATTGCTATCTGCAATTGCTTCTCCGAAAGTGTAAAAAGAAACTTCCACAAAATTTCAATTTCCAATAATCCAAAAACTTAAAAACCCATTCACTTCAACTAGTATTGCATTTACTTTTGGATATATGACCGTAAAACAAAAACACAATCGCTTCTTCCCCACTATTCAGCTTTTCCTCCAAGCAGTAATACCACTTAACACAACTTGTCCTTGATTTCAGATTTTATTTTTATTTTTTATTTTTGCATTTGCTATGCTTTATTTGCTAGAACTATCATTAAAGAACTGCTTCTGTGGAAAGTGCATTTCATTAGGAGTAGCCAGGCATTAAACCCACTTTAGTTAGCACTGCAAGTTCTGAATATTCCTTGGAAAGCACAGTTCAACTATAGGTCATGCAGTACTAGAATTTTTTTAGTAAATCTCCCCCCAGTCTGCCCCATCACAAAGTATAGCTGAGGTTACCATTATTTGTCCCATTATTCTTTAACTCATACTTCATAGAGCTACAGACATAGCTATTTGCAAATGGGAAATGAAAGCATCGCTGTATCTAATTAGAGCAATGTATACAAACATATGCTTTTAGAGGGATAGCTGCACAAAAATAGAGATGAATGCAAAAAGGTATGATGTTATTTTGGCTTAGTAAGATGGAGATGAAGGTTGGAAACTTATTGTTTTCCCTTTTTCATTTCTGGAATCCTAACTTTTTAAATTAATATTTTAAGGCTGGTTTTTATGCACACTTCCCAGGGGGTATGTCCCCTTGAACTCTATGAGGCTTACTTCTAAGTAGATGTAGCTGGGATTGCGCTGTGAGAGCCAAATCAATGTGTCATATTTCTAGGCTAGGTCTTAGTGTATTGTGGCCAAGCACCAATAAGTTACCGTATCGCTGCCTCAGTATTCATGCACTAACCAGAACTAATGTTTACAAGTGGCCACCCCTCACTGATCTTCTGTACCAAATGCAAAGCCAGTGTGCAGAAATCTGTCATAGAAAGAATGTGTAGATCAGGCACCACATGACATAGGAAGGCTTATTAGCTTAGATCACTGCTCTTTTGAAGGACTGGATGAAGAAAGATTTTTCAGTAGCTTTTACCTATGAGCAATTGCAGTTTACAAGCTTAGATGCATTTTACTTCCTGAATCAATAAGCCAGTATGGCATTCTGGCTAGAGTGGGAGATCTGCTCAGCCATGGAGCTCACCGGGTGACCAACATGGCTGGCCTAACTATAACCTCACAAGGTGGTTGTTGTAGGATAAAATTGAGAAAAGGAAGAGGATTATGTTAGTTGCCTTGATTGTCTTGAAAAGAAAAATATAATATATAAATATAATATATAAATGCACACCTGTCTTGCATGATTTCTTAGACAAACATGTGTGGTTACAGTTAGAAATAGTCTGCTTGAACCAGATGCAACTCTGGCCAGATCTAGTAAAACCTTTGTTTTTCCTCTCAGGATTTTCAACATTAGCAGTGGGAAGCAAAAGAAGCTGTACAAGGGATCCCAAAGTGAAGATGGTACTCTAATTAAAGTAAGACATCCCATTTTTTCAGTCCTTTGCAGGGGTTCAAACTGGCTTATTTTTTAACTGATTCTATAGATGTACAATTGGGTTTGTAATTGTTATAACTGTTATTTTATTATTTCATGTAAGTTGATATGAAAATAACATACTTCACAGAATTTTGTTTTATATTTTTTGAAAGTCTGATTAAGAATCCATTTGTCCATACGAATCAGTAAAAAAGAGCAAGGGCCATTGCAAATTCATTAAGGACATTCCCAATGGACATTTTTGTATCAGTTGGGTGGGGAAGGGGCAGCACTTATGCCGTGCAAGGGAGATGAATGCCATATTAGCAAGGCAGTGATGAGTTTTTTTGTTGTTGGTTTACCCAGACAACTCACTTTATAAAAAAAGGCAAAAATTTCCTCCATCTTGCATCAGACACATCTGGTAGAAAAGTTGCCTTGTTTATATTTTATCAATAGATGATCTAAGTGTCTTTCTTCACTCCTAGCTGTATAAAATTAAATAAACCACAACTTTGTAAGACAAGTAACTATTATATATTCAACCAGACTATGATCCTGTGTTAAATATCTATCAATAACTTTCCAGTACTGATGTGGAACAAGCTTCTTTATCACAGCACAGAAAACTAATGAAATAGAGTGACGATGTGTCCTTTCTGAAACCATACAACATTGCTTGCTTTTGAGGTCAGAATTATCACTGGGGAGCTGTACTTGGCTGAAGAACTGAACCATGCCTATTGCTAGTACCTCTGTGCCTCTAAACCATGTAATGTGTGAATGTGAAGTGTATTAAACAAAATGCAAGGTGTAACCTAGTCAAAGATCAACATGCTTAAATCCCACTGATTTGCAGGCAGCTAGTGGGCCACAGTGTGAACAGAATGACGGCTTAGATGAACCCTTGATCTGATCTGGCATGACCCATTCTTATGTTCTGATTTCAGCAGAAGATTATGGGCATGCTTAAATCTTTCCTATCGCTAATTGAAATATTCAGCTGTTGAATAAACATGCAATTGCTCTTTAGGCTATAAAGAGGAGTGCTTCCAAAAACAAACAAGCAAGCAAGCAAGCAAGCAAACGAATACTGAACATTTAAAAATAGCGGGTGTGGGATGGGAGCAGCATCCTTGTTCACTCACCACCCTGTACTGTTACTTTAAAATGCTTTCTCCAGTCTGAGCTCCAATACCTGGCTCTATCTTAAAGCACCGGAGTGCCAAACTAACTACTTCTAAACTATCTTTACTTTATAGTTCAGGAATAAGTAAATACGTGCATATCTAGTTTGGTTCTTGAATGATGAATTTTGGTTCAACAGTGCCCATGTTTTGCAAAATTGAGAAACATTCCCAGATGGTTTTAGCAATACTAGATCTTTTATTGCACACTTGATTTTTTAAAACAAACTAATTGTAACACAGACATACCGAATAATTGATTTTTCTCTTCTGGGTCATTTGTTTCAGGTGCAGACTGACCCCTCCGGTTTGTATATTGCCACTAGCTGCTCTGACAAGAACCTTTCTATCTTTGACTTTTATTCAGGCGAATGTGTAGCCACAATGTACGGACACGCAGGTAAATTGTACCTTGCTCATGGTGAATATTAGTTTAAAAAATCTTAGCAGGTTATATTCTTCTTTAATTTAAGGAAATAGTTTTTACTACATTTTACTACATAGATAGATAGTTCCATAAGATTTTCTTGGTAGTCAGTGCCAAGAAATGAGGTGCCAAACCAAATGATTTGGCAGCAATTATGATTTATTCATGTTAGCGCTTTGTTTATTGAATATTTGCACAGGTCTTTGTGGTCTCTCTGCATCTCACATACAGGCTCTTTGCCTTTGTGGAGCCTTGTTGTCAGGAAGATTTCATAGCTGCCACTGTTTTGACAGGAACCCTTCCCAATCCTGGTGTTCAGTATATATGGGAGGACTTCCTGCCTGACTTTCCTCAGTTCTTCTTCAGCCCCCTCCCTGGTGCCTCTGGAAGTTTTCTTTTTACTCCTGTGTGACCATTTTTTTGTTTGCCTAATTGTTGCCCATTTTGGTAGCCATGATGCTTTAGTTATTTAGTAGTTTGTTTATTGACTATTTGTTCAGTTACACACAGTGTGCTAGCTGCAACCCTTCCTGAGTTGGCCTGACTGGGCAACAGTCATCCATGCCTTGTTCACCTAAGGTTTAGACAATTGCCATGTGCTCTATGTGGGGCTACCCCTGAAGAGTGTATAGAAATTTAACATTGTACTTGAGAAGTTATATACTTGCAGCAAAACCAGCCCAAACTTGAGCAGCTGCAAGTGTCTGGTTTTGTGTTCGCATGCCTCTGCCTCTTTTTCCCTACAGGATAGTACGTGACCCTGTGATACAAGTTGTGAGTGGGGGACAGTCTGGCTGGAACAGAAGCAGGTTTCTGCTGTCTTTGCCTGCCTGCATCTCTCCCCACCACACTTGGATGGCTAATTTGGCATTATATGTGAACTGACTCAGTGTGTTAGGGGCTAAACCATACCTATCTTCCAGGTCAGATGTAATTAGGACGTATGGGTAGTAGAGCTGAGGAACAACAAGCTATTCATTTGCCACTGTTGTACCTGTTTCAGGAATAAAACTTAATTGCTTGTCTTTCTGATTTTTACAGAGATTGTAACTGGGATGATGTTCAGCAATGACTGTAAACACTTGATCTCAGTCTCTGGAGACAGGTAAGCAAAGGGATATTTGTGCTTCTGGCTCTTATGGTCATCCAAAGAATGGAAATTTTTAAAAAGGGAGGGGAAATGGATTTGCAAAGGATTTGACTCTGAGTAATTCTTTGTGGTGGCTTTCCCCTCTTTCCTACTCCATTGCTTTCTGTTCTAGCATCTTAAAGTTCTCAGTGGATATTCCTAAATCTCTAAAATGGGAGTGTTTTCTAAAATGTAAGCCTTTCAAAGAGAAATAAGTTGAACACTCCAGGAATTATGGGGAAGGGAACTATAGCATCTTAGACTTTCTGAAGATGCAGGCAATGGGTTCCATGTAGATAGGATATACTATGGAGTGCCATTGAGAAGGAGAATACAGAAACATGCAACAGAGCTAATCTTCTGCAGATAGGCAAAGTGGGAAAGTACCAGGACACCATCATCTAAAATTAGACCTTTGCATGTTTTCTGCTTCCAGCTGTATTTTCATCTGGCGACTGAGTTCTGAGATGACTATCAACATGCGGCAACGCCTGGCTGACATGAAACAAAGAGGAAAGCAAGTAGAGAAATTACAATCAGGCAAAACGGCTGGGCTGACCAGGTAGGAGGAAGTGATGCTCTTGCTCTGACAGCTTTCAGATCACAAAGTGTTTACTATTACTTTGCATTTGCTAATGATGCTATATGGAGGACGTTTGTAATATGAATATTAACTGCTATAGGTTACAGTCCTGTGATAACATCACTAATATCCTTTACAAACCAATAAGGAAGTAAGTGGTGCTGCCCTGTCCATCCACCTATTTATTAATATAAAAGAGCCATGCTGGATTGCATTGCAGGCTTACCTAGTTCAGCCATGGACAACCAGCTCCCTGTGGAAAACCCACAAATAAGACATGAGTGCAGCTTCCCTCTTATAGCCATCAGCAACTTCCATTCAAAGGCATGCTGACTCTGGAGGTAATATATAGCATCCATGACTCGTAGCCATGAATAGCCTTATCTTCCAAGTATTCTGTACAATCCCCTTTTAAAGATAAAGGGTCTTCACTACATCTTGTGGTAGTGAATTCCATAGCTTAAGTATGTGCTATGTGCAGAAATACTTCCTTGTATCTGTTCTGAAACTTACACCACTTAGCTTCCTTGGATTTTATTTATTTACTTATTTCAGAAGATGTTTATTCCACTGAATAGTCTAAAATGAAGATTCTGAAGAGGTGGCTAATAAAATATAAAACGATATATTAAAACCAGAATCAATAAAACCATAGCTGGTTAGTTCAAAAAGACTTTCTGAAAGGAAATTTGCTTTCAAGAGGTGCCAGAAATACAATATTGGCCTCTGCCTGACTTCCAGAGGCAGAGAATTCTAGAAAAATGGAGCCACTACACTGGAGGATCTACTCTAGGTGGACTCCAGTCAGGCCAGGGATCCAGGCAGAACCACCAGGAGCATCCCATCTGATGACTTCTGTGACCAGCCAAGAGAGTGAGGGAGAAAATGCTCTTTCACACCCCCAGGATATGAACCTGGGGGAGTAACCTTAACTCTTGGACTTGGGCATTGCTCATGCACAGCACTTCTGTCTTGCTAGGATTTGGCTTCAGTGTATTGGCTCTGTCCAGTTCATTGTCGAGTCTAGATACTGATGCACCTGGGCAGGTATCACAGTGAGACAGAGCAATGTGTGCAATCATCAGATGATGGCACTTGGCTCCAGATCCCCTAATGACTGCTCCCAGCTGGTATTCTTGCCAGTGGGCTGAGGACCAGTCATCCATTGTTGCTGTAACACGGTGTCTCCAGTGCCCACCCTGTGAAATCAATTCAGAAGAATATAACAGTCAATGGTATTGAAAGCTGATGAGACACTGTGCAGAATTAACAGGACTGGGCTCCCCCATCCCTCTCTGGATAAGGTTGTCCATCAGGTGTCCAAGGCTAATTCACCCTGTACTCAGACTGAACAACCAGGGGTGGTTCTACTTTTATGAGAAAGAACATTTCTCCCTATCCACTTTCTGCATTCTGTGGAATAGGTGCCACCACTGTTAAGGCTGTGCTCCAAATACTAACAGAACTCTCTCTGAATTTAAGGGATACAAAGGAATCCAAAGCAGGTATTCATCAGAATGACTTGAAGGATGGGGTTGTAGAAAGTCATAGGGAAATAGTGCTACTAGATATCGCTATGTGGCAAAGAAAGCTATCATAGGAAAGTGATGCCACAAGGACAATTTGATACGTAGATCAGGCCAAGATCTCAGATGCATTCCTGATCTTGGATATTGTTATGTTTGTTTTCCCAAAACTGTTTCCCTTTGATACTCATTCTACTCAATTTTGACTGAAAATACTACCAAGTGTAAGATAAAAGCAGCATTAAAGTAAACTTCAGGAATAGTAACAGTAGCACCAAGCCATAGTAACAAGAATGATCTCCTTGAAAAGCCTTTGCCCCAGCACAAAATACTTTTATCAGCAGGGAAACTTCACAGCTGCAGCATTTCTCAGATGTTTCTGTTTCGGATGGTACATGACCCTACTGACACTTTAAAGAAGAGAGCACAGAACATTTCTGTGTGGTTGAAGTGGGGATTCTCTTAGGCAAAGGGTTTCCCTGTTTTGCTATCACAGGGGGTGGACAGCTTGTATCCCTTCAGATGCTTTGGACTGCAGCTCCTATTATCCCTCACCATTGGCTGTTGTAGCCAGACCTGATGGGAGTTTCATTTTGACAACCTCTGGGGGGCCACAAGTTGCCCAGGCCTGCTTCAAGAGCATTCTGCGCTGTGGATTCTTCTTCGCTTCTAAAAACAGATGCTCTTTGAAGCCTCTGTGGAATTCTTATCCTGTCAACTGGAAGCTTCTTCAGCATGATAGAGGTCAGGGAGCAGTTGCAGGGTGGAAGCACTTCATGTGCACTCAGACGTTCTGCTAGACATGTTCCATTGTTGGGTGTTGGCAATGCAGATTTCCAAACCCTGCCGAGTCATTGCTGCAGTTATCTTTGCAATGCACTCTCCTGCTGTGCCTCCACATTGAGTTGTGGAGAAGCCTTTTCAAGCCAAAAATGCTGGAGTGGTGGAGCAGTGTTCTTTTTATAGCAAACTCTCTTCACCATTCCAGCAGCTGCAGAGCTTTTGCCTTTTTGAGGCGCAGCCTGTATCAGACACTCCCGGTTTCAGTCAATATTGTGAGGCTCATTTGTCACATGCCCTTGCTTGGAGGGCTGTGTCTGTGACATACCAAGCCTAGCAGTTTGTTGGAAAACACGTTTGGTGACCTCCTTGCTAAGCTGGATACTTTCACTCTGGTAGCATATAAAAGGCTTGTTCCCAGCCCTGGCCCTGATTGCTGGATAGGAGCAGAGATCTGAAAACACTACTTGCTGAATTTTGGAAGAATATACACTTCTGTCACAGCTTCACTGCATGGAGTTAAACATCTGGGGACCTTGTGTAAGGAACATGTTTGCTTGTTTTTTAATTTGTGTCAGGCTGGAGAGGAATACATAAATTGGGTTGGAGCTTGATATTTCTAAGATGCTGACTTCTATATAGCTGAAGGAAAATATCTGCAAGAGCATTTATGCTCTGTAATATTTATTATTTATTTATTACAAACATTTATATCCCATCTTTCTCATAAGCACTCAGGATGGCTTACATAGTATAAAATTAAAATAATACAATATTTTTATCTCATCTTTTAGTTTCATTATTTAAACTCAATAGAAGAAAACATTACAGATCTAAGATGTTTTTGGCAGTTGACCCTAGTGCCTTCAGTAGCTTACATTTTGCGAGCATCATGAAATAAATGAGCCAAGAAAGGAATCTGGGATGTTGTGGAAATGTGTCTGCTGATTTAGCAAATGGGGAAGGCAAGATTTTGGATCTGAAACTGCAGCTGATAAAACATAAATCTATAGATTTAGGATTGTGCATGTTCCTTTCCTATCTGCTGTTTGCTGTCCTTCCATCCCACTGCATATGGATTCCTCTTCCACTTCTGAGCTTTCTCCAGTTTTATTTTGCCATAATTTACCATTAGGCTTCCAAAGCATTATATGAAGCATAGTATGGACTGAAGTGAGAGTGCAAACAATGCTTTGGAGGTAGAGCTAATCATCGTTTGTCAGATTAGATATTGCCACAAACTATGACTAGAACAAATCAAGAAACTGAGCAGAAGGGGAAGGATTGAGGAGGAATAATGTGTGAGTCTGTGAAACATTCACAAGCTTCCATACCAGAACTGGTCTTGTGATATCTGTATTGGACTGTAATGATGAAATGTGTAGCTATCGACTACTAAGGATCACATGGGTCTCTTTTTTTCTTTTTGTATAATAGTGGATTTCTCGTACATCTTGTAAATTTTTTTCTTTATGTTTTTCAAGATTCAGATTATTTATGTTGTTATGGATTCTAGCAGTGAAGTCTTTTTGGGGTGCTCTTGAACTTTTTGGGAAGTATATTGAGTTCAGTTTGCATGTAGTTAGCACTGTGTATTTGGGCTAGGGCTTATATGCAGCCTGCTTTCTTAATTATATGCTAATTTATGCATGTAACACCTTTTTAGTGTGTAAGAAAGGTTATATATGGTTTTAGTGTGTGAAGTGCTGTGACATTTAATGCTTGTCTGTTAGAAGTGAATCACACCTTGCCCTTTATGAGTTGCAATCAAGTGTTTATCTTTCAGGTTTTTCTTCTGGTGACTTAGAAGTGTGACTTCTCACTGGCATGAGTGTTGAAAGCTGGCTTTGATACTCATTTCTGTACTCAAGATAGACCTCTTCTATGAAAGTTCCTTTGTTTGGGAGCTTTTAAAAATGATTATTTCCCAGCGTCTCTGTCAGATGTCTGGCAGAGAACAAGTTCCTTCCAGGAAATGTGGGGCTCTCCCTATTAAGGAAATGACAGGGCCATGAATGGAAAATACAGAATGGGTATCTGTTTGACCTGTTTTGTTATTTTTTCTGTTAATATGATTGCTTTTTTGACTTATGCACCTTTTGGGAGTGTTAAAAGAACTCTGTCTTTCCACCATGCAAGACCTTTGGAAAATGCATTTCAAACATGTTTTAGGAACCCTAAACAAGCCCAAATGCATTTGATATGTGCATGGCACAGGATGGAGACAGTGCTGCTAGTAACCTAGTTAAAGGAGTAAATATCACTCTGTAATGCATTGCATTTATTTTCTTTATGTCTAATTATTATAAATATGTATATCCTTAAAAAAGAAAATTCTGACTAAAATTCATAGGACCTAAAATTGAAATTGTTCCTTAGGTTACAGATGTACTGCAGATGTGGAGTTCTCTAACTAAATTTATATCAGTAATGTGGTGCTGGAGAAGACTCCTGCGAGTCCCTTGGACTGCAAGGAGCTCAAACCAGTCAGTCTTAGAGGAGATCGACCCTGGCTGCTCTTTAGAAGGCCACATCCTGAAGCTGAAACTCAAATACTTTGGCCACCTAATGAGAAAGAAGGACTTACTGGAGAAGACCCTAATGCTGGGAACAATTAATGGCAAAAGGAGAAGGGGACGGCTGAGAATGAGGTGGCTAGATGGAGTCACTGAAGTGGTCGGCATGAACTTAAGTGGACTCCGGGGGATGGTGGAGGACAGGAAGGCCCGAAGGAATGTTGTCCATGGGGTCGCAATGGGTCGGATGCAACTTCATGACTCACAACAACAACAATGCACATCTAGCCTAGGAGAACTGTGAAAATATCTTCCAGTCAATGCATGTATGGCAAAGGACCACACCCAGCACTTGCATAGGTGGTTGTTTCAAGGCAGCACAGGAAAAAGGCAGAAGGACAATCTTTAGAAGGGTTTTGTTGCTGGAATAACCCCAAAAGGGATCAAAGGTGTTAATTTGTGATGCTGAAAGAAGTCCCTGCCAGATGCTTATATGGTTTCTTGAGTGTTCTTGTTTGGCTTCTGGCTTAACTAGAACAGTGAGTGGTTCCTGTGTTAAGGCACTTCTTGCTCCTGGAGAGCTAAAAAAAAGTACATAAGCCCAGCCAAAGTTATCCAGAGGAAGAAGCAACTCTATAGTGAGGAAAGCTTTTTTTAGGCTTTATTATTATTATTATTATTATTATTATTATTATTATTATTATTATTATTATTATTATAACATTTCTATGCCGCCCCTTGCCAAAACCTCGGGGCGGCTTACAACATGATAAAATACATTGAAATACAATAGTACATAATAAATTACCATTAAATATAACAATACAAAAAATACATTGATTTACAAATACAAAATTAAAATTATCAGTATAAAATAAAAATATAGGGGGAGAAAGAGAAGGAAGAAGAAGTTGCCCAGGCCAGATCATATGTTTTAACAATTGAAATGATGTTTAAATAAAAAGGTCTTTACCTGGCGCCGAAAAACCAGTAACGACGGTGCCAGGCGGACCTCTTTGGGGAGTGAATTCCATAGGTTGGGCGCCACCGCAGAGAAAGCCCTCCTCCGGGTACTTACTCTCCTAATTTCTTTCATGGAGGGTTCCCGGAGAAGGGACTCTCCCGCAGATCTCAAAGGGCGGTCGGGCATATACGGACGTAAGCGCTCGTGCAGGTAGCCAGGACCCAAGCCGTTTAGGGCTTTGTAGGTCATAATCAACACCTTGAATTGAATGAAAAAGCCAAGTGAAGAAGTAAGTAAGGATGACAGAGGTACATAAAATGATGCATGAAATGGTAAAAGTGGATTTGTTTTCCTCACTTTCTCATAATGCTAGAAGCCAGAGTTACCAAATAAAAGATGTGGAACACTTGGCTCAACAGTACTGCAAGTGAGAAGGATCTTGGAATTGTAGATCACAAAATGAATATAAGTCAACATTTTGATGTGGGTTCAAAAGGGGCCAATGATATTTTAGGCTGCATTAATAGAAGTATCACTTCCATATCCTGTGAGGTCCTAGTTTCCCTTTACTCGGCACTATTGGCCTCATCTGGAGTACTGTATCCAGTTCTGGGCACCACAGTTTAAGAAAGATGCAGACAAGCTGGAATGGGTGCAGAGGAAGGCAGCAAGGATGATCTGGGACCTGGCAAACAAAGACCTATGAGAAGACAATGAAAGAGCTGGCATGTTTAGCCTTGAGAAGAAAAGACTGAGGGGAGATATGGTAGCACTCTACAAGTACTTGAAAGCTTGTTACGTAGAGAAGGCCAGCATCTCTTCTTAGTCCTCCTAGAGTGTAGGACATAATGGTCTCAAGTTACAGGAAGCCAGATTCCAGCTGAACAGCTGGACGTCCATCTGAGAGAGATGGTTTAACTTGGAGTCATGCACTGAGCAGGGAGTTGGACCTGATGGCCCACTGGGTCCCTTCCAACTCTTCTATGATACTAAATGGAACAGTGACAAGTAGAGGACACACAAAAATAAATGCATCTTCACACTGCTCATAGTTAAACTATGGAAACTAAACACAAGATGGACACCAGCTTGGATAGCTTTAAATTAGATAAATTCATGGATAATGTTACCTCCAGTGTCAGAGGCAATATGCCTTGATATGGAAGTTGCTTGGGACTATGTACCGGAAGGTACTATTGCATGCATGTCCTAATTGTGGGCTAGGCATAGACACTCCATTGACCATTGTGCAAAAACGATGCTGGACTAGATATGCCTTTGGTCTCAGCCGCATGACGCCTTTTATGTTCTTGCCTTCATCCTCACAGTATTATGTACACAGTTGAAAGGGACCAAGAAGCCAGTGTGCTTAAAGGCAGTTTCAGCAGTCCATCAGCTCTCCACAAATGCATAAAAACAGCAGGACTGCAAGAAGTGCTGATAAAACAAAAGTTACAGATGACTCATTGCAATATTTTAAGCGACCACTAATTTGAAGGTCAGAGTGCTCTACTTCCATCTGTACTGAGCTTTTCTAGATGAGGCTGCTTAACCCACTGTTTGTCTTCCAATTTCATTGCAGAATTAAGATCAGGACTTTACTTGAAATTGTTTTCCTTTCCTGACTTTCCATAGTACATAACCTCTGCGTGATGCCGTGGTATAGCACTACATAAGTGAACACTTGTGCTTGTTCCTTCATGCCAAAAAGTATTGCATTTTCTGCATTCCAGCCCCCACTCCCAAGGGCTTCCAGAAATAAGTGAAATGGAGTGTCATGATGTTGTATAAAGCACCTGTGAACAACCAGGCACAAGGAAAGACAAACACACAATAAAAGCCTCATTTGGAAAAGCCCACTGCTGGCAATTTACACTTTGCAGGGAAATTTGCTCCCTACACTGACTATCATGTATTTGGTACTCCAGATTATTTCTGTCTCCTAAATAACATCTTGTACTAAACAACAACTTGCAGCACTTCATTAAATTTGCTAGAGGCGTACTGGATGGCACGCATCATGCTGATGAATATAAATATGTCATTGCTTAAAACTGGGCATTCTTAGTTGCCTTGTTTCTTTTTGATTTGGCTGAAGGGGAAAATAGGTGTCCCTTGTTGAAAGTTTAAGGTCAGGCCTCATGCCAAGAATTCCTGTCTTATCTCTTTTGATAAAAGACCTATGCCAGGTATGCTAAGCACTCTTGTATCGTGGCTCAGTTTTGGTAGTGCAGCATATTATTAAGTTATGGTACTGAGGTTTTGCAACTGGGTTTACAAGTTTGTCTTTCTCATAACTGTGTTATGTGACCTTTCTGATTACTGCTGTGTGGATTCTGTTCTATCACAGTAGTGATAGAATTGAGGAGAGCATAAAAAGATGCAAGGAAATTTCGGAGGGTACAATTTAACCACATTTAATAACCATGGATTTTTAACAGGAGAGATTTAAGTGAGCATAAAAACAGTGTATTTCAGTTGCAGAGAGGTATGTGTCATGGTTGTCTGCTGCTACCTCTACTCTTGGCTTTGTCAGTTGAACATTTAGGATAATATATTCAGGCAGGAGAAAAGCAGGAGAGGATGAAGGATGGGCAAAGATTAACTTTACACGGATGACGTATCATCTGTCTTATACAGACTAGGCAAGTAAGGAAATGCTAGATTTGCTCAACATTCTGGAAAATTTAAGATTATAAAGTTAATATAAATGAATTAGAATGGGGGAAGGTTCTGATCTGGAGAAACAGTAAAAAAAGAACATTATTGATTCCTTGGAGAAATTCCACAAATAAATATTTGGGGTGTGGATAACCAATTTTAGAAAATCTTGTCAGAATTCCAATGCACTATTGGAATAAGTCCATAAGGATTTTGAAAGATGGGACTATCCTGATTGAACTATATCTGTTATTTAAACGAAATGTGCTACTACAATTACTCTTCCTATTTTAAAATATTGGATTAAAGGTGAATATGTTGCTATTTACTAAATGGCAAAAATTAATTCTACATTTCTTGTGGGTAGGGAGAAAAGATAGAGAAATTACAAGGATACTGTATCAATAATTTGATTAAGGGATCATAGCATCCCTTTGTAATTAGGTGGCATTATAAAGCATTCACGTCAACTTCATTAAAGCCACAATTCACACTGGATAAAAGAACAAAGATGAAACAGCTTAAGTTAACAACTTGCATTAAAGTTACTCTTTGATTTTTCAGCAAATTTTATTTTTCATAAATCCCCTGTACTAGGAATCAGTTCAAAATATAGCTATTTAAAAATCTTATATATGTTTAAAAATAAATTAAGTCCACTTTTTAACAATTAATGTCTATAAATCATAATGAACAAGTAATAAATGAAATTAGTTTTAGTAATAAGAAAGCTAGGGAAGAAAATCATTCAGATCATAAAATTGCTCAGAAATGGGCTAGTTTGCACTTAGGGGAAATTAATGAACAAATAGGACAAAACTTTACCATAATTTTCCAATAATTACAAGTAAGGCACATAATCATAAATTTAATTCCTTAAATACAGTTCACTGAATGAAAATTCTGAACTTGAAATTACAATTCCAGACAATTTATCCCAGAGGCTCATTGTTAAAACTATGCAAAACTGGCAGAAACAAGATATAAGCAAAATTCATATAAACTCAGATGGGAAAAGGATTTAAGGAGAAATACTGACCAGGTATGAGGGTGAATTTAGAAGGCCATTTGAAAAAGTACACTATGCATGAACACCAAGAAGATCTGCAAATCTGAAAATTAATCAGATCTCATTCAGTATTAAATGTTTAAATACTTAAGGCTGTTTTTGATCAGTGATGACCTTTGATCTTAAAAAATTTATCTCACAGATATAATAATGTTGGCAGTGAGTATTTGGTGTTATTAGGTATTATATCACTATGTATTATGTAAATAAGAATAATTTTGTTCAAAAATAAGTCAAAGAAAAGCTGTGATGCCCTGTTTTAGCCTATTTACATGCTTTTAAAATGGGCCTCCTCAAAGCCAGTATGACTGAGCATCCAATTCTCCTCCTATCGTCCCCAGCTAGCACTTGCTGTGCTACACTGGTAGGGCAATAGAGTGATGGGCAAGAATGATTTGGATTAAGAATGCTGGCATTCGTCATATATTTTACGCAAATGCTGAAGCTCATTCTGTCTTTCTAGGCACGAATCGGTCTCTGTCCTCTCATCTGCACCAGCACTCTCATCAGACAGTGACAAAGATGGTGAAGACGAAGGGAATGATGAGGATGAGTTACATGGGATGCAGTCTTTCCAAATGCAGACCAATTGCAGCACTGAACGGGATTCAGGTATAGTGGAAAAGGAGGGTGCCTTGGAAGCCAGTGTCAATGCAGAAATGAAATAAGAATAATGAATAAGAAATGAAGCACGGGGGAGTGGAGATACATGCCATTTGCATGGCCGTTTACCTTTTCAAATGTTTTCATGCTGTGCTCCATAGACCTACACAGATGTATGTGTGGAGGACGTTCTGTGGAAAATAGTGCATGGAGATATTTAATAGCCATTTCCATCCACTTGTGCCAGTTTGCAGTATCCTGTGTATTGTCAGTTCTCAGAAAGAATTCTCAGTTGCATCCCAGCAATAATTAGTATAGAGAGAGAACAGTAGAAAAAGACTCTGAGTCAGCCCTAAAGATACAAGAATAAGAAAATGGCTGAATGAGATTATTCTGTTGAAATTGCAAACAGTTGACAACCTAAGAATTTGTGAAGCTGAGAGCTGAAGTTTAGTACTCTCATTTCCCCTAAAGAATCATAAAATTCTAAGCAGTCACTATGTAATTAGGTTACTAAAAAGAGCAATACGACTTTGTGTTCCTGCGAATGTGAAATGATGTTTCATATTGATGAAAACATGCGTGCTTAAATTCAGTGGGCTTTTATAGAGGTTTGGTTGTGATTTCTCTTTAACAGTCAGCAGCACCGCACAGAAAACTCTGCCACGATTGGTGAGCAGGAATGGAAAGCAAAGCAGAACTGTAGACAAGAATATTTTCATCTATCTATTTTATTTTTCCTTTTAGATTCAGACCTTTCTCTTTCAAGAAGCTTGTCCCACTGGGAAATGAGAAGGGTGAGTTTTACCTTTTTTAAAAAAAGCATTTGAAGTCTAAGAAGAGTTGAAGGGTGGAGAGATATCCAGGAATCATTCATGCTGCTCTAAGATTTATGATACATTGGTGTCATCTTTCCATAGCATTCCAGTTTCCAAATGTCATTTATTTATTTAAAACATTTCTATGCCGCCCCGAGGCTTTATTGCGATGGGGCGGCATAAACCCTAGTTAAATAAATAAATTAACAATTAAAATAAGTTTTAAATAAAAAGGTCTTAGCCTGGCGCCGAAAAACAAATAACGACAGCGCCAGGCAGACCTCTCTGGGGAGCGCATTCCATAGATGGGGCGCCACCGCAGAGAAAGCCCTCCTCCGGGTACTCACCCTCCTGATGTCATTCACAGATGGTTCCCAGAGAAGGGCATCTGCTGCTGACCTCAAGGGGCGAGAGGGCATATATGGGAGCAAGCGTTCCTTTAGGTATCCAGGTCCCAAGCTGTTTAGGGCTTTATAGGTCATAAACAACACCTTGAATCGGGCCCGGACTTCAATCAGGAGCCAGTGGAGCTGACGGAGAACTGGGGTTATATGAGAACAATGCCCAGTCCCCGTCATGATATACATCAGATCAGTTACAACAATTATCAGTGGCTTTAGTTCATCTAGTGAACTTGACCTGGTATCTGTAGATAGGCCATTATTTGTTAGGTTTAAGATAGGGCTTCATACATTAGATGTGACATTGCAGCTACCTTACATGGGGCACAGACTGCTATGAAGATATTCTTATCCTTAGAAAGCTGCTTGTAATTGTGAGATGCAGTTTCTGAGACGGTTGTGTACTTAAACCAAAAACACGCTCCTTAAACCAAATGGAACTACAAATCTGTAGCACCTTTTTATCACCTGTTCCAAGGGCGGCTTGTTCAGCAGTGTATAAATTATGCTGAACAACTGAATGATTTGCAAGGGAAGACCCGTATTCTGTTCTTGTGGGGTAGAGGATTTATCAACCCATGGGGTGTCTTGACATTAATGTCACCAGGAAGAATGTGAAAAAGACTTTTCATCTTGGTTGATGTCAATCCCAACTCTTGCCCCTTTAATGGCAAAGAAACATTTGACTAGTAGGAGCAGGATGAGTGGACCAAATAACTCTTCCACTGCTCTCAGAGAATGTCTCCATTGCAATATGAGGAAAGTGTCTTAGGATCAAGTCAGGTCTTTCAGATACTTGAATTCAGTTCAGGAAAGTGAAGCTACTATGTTCTGCTGAAGATACGAATTTGCTTTAAGGAAGAAGCCTAACATATTATTGATTAAAGTTATATACTTTCATGACACCCAGTTCTTGTGATTTACAAGTTATGAAGGAGGTTTGTCTTGATTATCCTTTTTTAAAAGATCTTATTATGACTTTGTGCCTTTCATCTACATTTTTGCTATTGTGGGTGACTCTGGGGCATTATGATTCTCTGAGCAGTTGACTTTTTGAGAGGGTTCTTCAGGCCTGTTTTTTAAATCTTTTTATTTTTAGGCTAAAGAAATAGCAATGATCCAGTGTTCAGAGAACAGCGTGAGCAAGGCCCCTCGGCAGCGGGGTCGTTGGTCCCAGCCAACGAGCAGCATAGAGATGACTGTGAAATCCATGCTTGATTTACGCCAGCTGGAGTCTTTCTCTGTCTCCCGGTCTGCCAGCCGAGATTCACTTTCACAGGCCAGCAATGGGGAGGACCCGGGAGAACATCCCAGTCTCCCTCTACATGTCAGCAATGTAAGAACATCCCTTCTCAATGCAAGGAAGAAGAAACTACCATTAGTCATAGGAAGGAAGGCAGGATGCGCTCCAACGGAGCAAAGCTCAGGGAACTCAGGTTCAATTTAGATGCCAGGAAGCACTTCCTGACAGTTAGGACCCCGAGGGTATGGAATGGGCTTCCATGGGAGGTGGTTGAGGCCCCATTGGTGAGGGTGTTCAAAGATAGGTTAGACATGCTCTTGGTGGGCATGTCATGAGTGGAGCTGGCTGGAGCCGGGGGTCAGACTAGATGGCCCAGGAGGCCTCTTCTGACTCGCTCTGTTTCTATGTTTCTGTAATAAAAATATGATAACCCATGTTTGGTCTGTGTATGAGTTGAGTGTGAGTTGTTGAAATGTGGGTTATTGTGTTATCTGAACTCAGCTGTGCTAACAAGTTATGACTTGTAACTGTGAACAATCCAAGAAGAACCTATGGTTGCCTGGTTGTGAAATATTAGTTATTGGTTCAGACAACACGATAACTCATGTTTCATCAACAACCCCCCACTCAAACTATACTCAGACCATATATGTGGGTTATCATGTTATCTGAAACCAGTCTTGGACTGGGTTCAGACAACATAACAAACGATGGGTTTTTTTTAACTATTATTGTTCTGTCATGTCTGAACCCAGTCATGGTATTTCACCATGGTAAGTTTGGTTTTTAGAAACGATGAGAAGTAACAATGGTCTGTGTTATGTTCTTTCTGTACCACCATGGCTTGTCGTGTTGTCTGAACCAAGGATTGTGGTTTTCATGGTCCTAGTATGTAATTACAATAAAGTCTTCCAGAAAGAGTGGCAACTGCAGAAGCCACTCCAGCCATCTAACTTTTATGTGTGGACCAATGAGACAGGTGACATGGGCAAGGAGTGATGCACCTTGGGAGTGAATTTCAGCAGCAGTGGCTGATGGGATATGTGCCAACACTTGAAGTGAGCAGTGAGGATGGAAGCCATGATAAAGTAGGAACCATTTAATTGTCAAGTAGAGCATGGTTTAAAAAAACCCAGCAAACCATGGCAACTATGCATTGTGTTGTGTGAACTCAGCCATAGAGTTCCACAAGGAAGCCTCTGATCTCACTGAATTAGGCAGTGAAAACTATAATCCTACCTCTTCCAAACTGGTGCCTTTGAGATGTGTTGCACTTCAATTTCCATCATGCTCCAGGTAGCTATGCTGTGATAGCTATGAATGAAAAAAACCTAATGCTTTTTGAGCAGAAGCAGTAGCCTGACAAGCAAATAAGACTAGTGAATCTGCTTCTGTTACCTCCTGAGTCATGTTTGTTTGATTTTATATCTGTCCTACCCTTCTGCATAAAGAGTCCAGGCTGTTCCTCAGATACGTTGTCAGCTAGAGTTTTTTCTCCTCTAGGCCTAACATTTTGCATATTGCTTTACTGAAACAAAGATAACAATTTTCACTTTTGCACTCCTATATCAGGTTGGAGACCCTGCAACTCTTCAGGAAAACCAGCCATGTGTTCGACCCCAAGTTATTCGACTTCTGTCCTGTGAAGGTGGAATTTTCCCTCAGGAACTGGAGCCTTCAGGGAGTGAGGAATGTGTGATCTACCCAGAACAAGATGAAATTCACCCCACAGACATTAGCAGGTCAAAAATAAATTTCTTTTTGTGCCTTGACTTACGTTATGTGTGTTTTATTCCTCTGAGCTCTCCTGGTTTGAAGATTTAGATGAGGTAACCTGTTGCTTGCCACATGTTGTTGAAGGATAAAGTTAGATGCAGGTTTAACTGCAGTCACTAGACCAAAATTTGCTGAGTCACCAAAAGTAAGCAAAATATTTTACTCCAAAGAGGTTTACGGTCTGTCCCATTGCTCTGTGGTGACCTGACTTTCCCACTTTGCTGTATTTTACGATGAGCTAAGGTCCATTAAAAAATATTTGCTCATAATTTATACATAAAGTTTTATAAACAATGATACCACCATTAGATTTCTCCTTGGATGAAAGTCTTGTGCATGTCTTACTGTTTCCTGTTCTCCATCCCTTTCTTTTACACGTGTCTGTTTGAAATTCAGTAAGGGAATGCTGTTACTGCTGATTGGTGATGCCAGTAACATGGCTTGGAAAAATCATGCAATAATAAAAGTATTGGAGAAACAGGAGAAAGATCAATCTCTTTCTTCCTATTCTCTTCTCCTCAGTTTCCTCCATGCACAAATTAACTCTCCCTTCCCTCTTTCCTCCTCCTTTGAGCAATGTCATAGTAGCTGTTTTATCTCCTTCCTTTCCCCAATATAGAATGTTCTGGTTGTGAGCGCTACACTATTACATTCTAGAGTTCAGGTTTTTAAAGGCAGAACTACTCATTATTGCCCTACCTCAACCTCAGCCTGAAACTTCTGCTTTATGTATTGCTATAATTTCAACATTTAAACAGAGGACAGGGTGGGACATCTAACTGTACAGTTAGATTAAATAATATAATTGACTTTAGTATCCTTCATGCCTAAATTCAAATCTAGTGACTAGTTTTTAAATGCAAGAAGTTCAACCATTCCGTTAACAAGATGGACTTATTTGCATCCACAGACATACAGAAATAAATAGCTGCATTCATGGAGCTGTGACCATGAGCTGTGTCATGGTGGTCTCTCAAATTATGCTAATTAATCTCTGCATAATGTTGGGATATCTGTAAGGGACACTCTGATGCACACACAGGCTGTAGTGAAAACTTCCAGCTTTGTGTTGATGAGGGCTCTTAGAGTTCTGTGAGGAAAATATGGAACTTCTCATATAGTCAACCAATTATGAATCTTCCCCTGCAGTGTTGGAAAAACATAGTAAAAGTTGCATTGGCTTGCTGCCTGAAAACCAGCATTTGAATGTGGACCAACAAAAAATGGGGGAAATGTCCAAATATCACTGTCCAAGCTCTATGAAATGCAAAATAATTTTGCATAAATGGTTTAAAGGTTAGGCTTTAAAAACACAGTTTTTGAATGATGGAACATTATTAGCACAGGTAAGGTTTTTGCAAGTTTCATAATTAAAAAATAAGAAAAGCAGCATTTCTTATAACCATATTCATCCCCTCTCTCACAGTGAATTCCAGGTAAAAGCACTTCCCCATGGGAAGCTAGGTAGAAGTTACTCCAACAATGGATGTCCAGATAAGCACAGCCCTGATAGTGCCTGCTCTGTGGATTATAGTAGCAGTCGATTATCAAGTCCAAATGAAGGTGAGATTTGAACTGTTTGTTTGTTTCATTTAGCTAGTTACTTGGACAAGCAGCACATACCATTCTGAAAACTTCATCTGGATACCATTACCTATAACATATGCAAAATGCTGTCAAAGGGAAATATATAAAACTCCAGGCCTTCTTAACCTTGGCTTCCAAAAGTCACCCCAGATTAAAAGATGTTGCTTTCCTCCTAATGTAAGATTGGCAGATGCTGTGTTTTTCCAGCTTCTTTGGTACTGCTTGCATCTGAGTCGATGTGCCAGCCAGCTACTCACAACTAGTTGTCAGTTATAACAGTCTCCATTCTGACTTCTCAGTCTTCCATGATGAAATACTCTTTTTGTCTGGTTTGCCTTCCCCATTCCTGGGGGAAAACATACAGAATAAATTTCTAGGTCAGACTAATACCTTTCAACCAACGTGTGGCACCTTGCAGCCCAAGCAACAGCCCTACATCTCATTTCTTTCAATACGCTTTAGAGCAAACTAAACATGGTATCATTCGGACAAGCAGAAATTGTATGAATGGTTTTTAAAAACAGGCAGCAAAAGGCTTGATTTGGATTAAGAACTTGGCAGGAAGTGGCGATACTGAAACTGTTGCCTGAAAGGAAGATCTGTTCTCTAATTTGGGAATGTGAAATATCATTTTCTCTAACAGCAAGATTAGTTGGCTATCTATCAAATGGGGACACTAAAAAATGAAGTAAGTATTCTGCACATTTGAGGGACTTTCTACATATGTAGAATTCTATAAGTTAGAAATGTTAAAGAAAGGGCATTTAAAAACTTAGCAAATAGCTAGACAAGTCACCAGGGCAGGAGCCTCCTGGATGTATGGCACCTCTGGGAAATCTCTCTGAGCCGACGGGCTGAATTCAGTTTTGAATATACCCTCAGGGTCTGCATTCTAGTGGTGGATGGGGACAAAGGTACAAGGGCCAAAAATATTAAAATGCCAGCACGTTGTAGCTTAAAGCCCCTTGTGCTAGTAATGAAACATTACGGAGAGGTTTTTCACCGTTATAGAATGGGGAAAGGGAAACCACCAATGATTGATGGCAGAAGGGGGCATGACCATCTGAAGAACCTTGGAGGGGCAGATTTGGCCCCCTGAAGGGGGGAAATTGGTTCCCTGGGAGGACTGGATTTGGCCCCTGGGCCGGAGGATCCCCACTGTTGATGTATGGAGCACTAAGGTGCTGGGATGTGGAGGAGCGGAGACAAGAGTGGATTGGCCTGCTCAAGACTCTCCTAAGTATCCCAGTGGAAAGCATTTAGTATTGGGTAGATGCATTGTTTGAGGGGAAAAAACACTCTTCTTTTGTGGCCTTTTTTGAATAGGAGTTTTTATAAGGCGGGGAAGGGAAAAGGTCACCTTGTATAATTGGCTTCAGGCCCTGCTTCTATAATCTGTGCTATAAGCATGTAGCATTTGCTCTTTCAGATTCTGAGAGTACAGAACCTTTCAGTGTGGATGGCATCTCTGACCTGGATGAACAGGTGGGAGAAGAGGATGAGGAAGATGTCAACACTGGACTGTTGGAAGGGGATGGCCCCAGGACTCCAGATCAAGAGAAGTTCCTCAAGCAGCATTTTGGGACACTGGCCAGTAATGGTAAAAAGGGTATCGCTCACTCCTGAATCAGTGAAAATTCTTAAATGTTTGTTTGTTTGTTTAAAACTTTTATATACCATCCCATCACTGACATCTCGGGATGGTTTACAACATCACTAATAAAATAAGATAAAGAGATAAAAGTAGCACAGCATCCAATAATAAATATAAAAACCACAAATTAAGACAATTAACAATAAAAATAGTGGGAAAATAAAAAGGGTTGGGATGTTTTGCAGTGGCTTTTCTACAAATCTGCTTTTGACAGTCAGTACCACTAGGTGTTATGGCTCTCGTTTGACAACTGTTGAAGGAAATGCCATTAGTGGAATGAAGAAATTAATGAGTAATAGGGCAGAATCCCTATTCTAAACCATAGAATTTGCCATTGTCTACTTTGATTTTGACACAGTATTTTATTATGACTGTATGGTACAGTGCTTATATGTCTCTTAGAAATTTCTTTTTACTGTAGGTGAGTTAAAAATACTGGTAAACAAATCATTTTTGCAGTTGCAGGCTAAAGAGGATAAAATGAAGAGTAGGAGTAGGTGTATGTAAGTGTCTTGGTTCCTCACAAGAGGAGAAAAAGGCAGGTAGAAATGTAATGGAATAATAATATAGCCTTCCCTCTGGAAATTCAGAGATGAAGGGTGCATTCCTATGTGTGTTTAGATAGAAAAAGTCCTTCAATACCCAGCATTCCTCAGCCAAACTTGGTTTCTAGGTGTGCATAAAATGGTGTCCTAGAGGCATTCTGAAGCCATAGATGGGAAAGTGCGCAATGCTTTTTCCTCAGCTATAGCTGGATGTATACAGTGGGGTTGCCTATTATATGCGAATTGAATTAGGACGTTCCCTCAGTTTTAATGATCTGAAAGCATTTTCAGATGAAGCAAAAGTAAGTCTAACTCTGAATGCATGTTTAAAATTTTTAAAAATTCTAAATATGAATTGTGTGTGTTCTAAAGAAAAAGAAAAACTGGACCTGAGCCCTGAAAAACAGGGACATGTTAAGGGACAGGGCCATGGCTCAGTGGAAGAGCATTTGCTTTGTAGGCAGGAAGCTGCAGGTTCCGTCTCTTGACTGTGCCAGGAATGGCTCTTGTCTGAAACCTTGAAAGAACCTCAGAAGTTCAATATGGCTGGCTAACCATGGCAACAAGGCACTCGTGCTGGGATTATACAACATGGCAAGCCATACCAGCAAAAGTAATTATGCCTGACAGGAAATAAGCTACTGTAGTTTGTCTCATCCAGGGGAAATAAGCTACTGTAGTTTGTCTCATCCAGGGGAAATAAGCTACTGTAGTTTGTCTCATCCTCAGTGACCATGCAGGTAAACCCAGCGTGAACCAAGGTGAGGAAACTTCAGGTGGCCTGGGAGCCCATTCCCACACATGCCCCTATCGCAGCAGGTTAAGTTTTATATATATTGTTATTGGTGATACAGTGAGGGTAAATTTACATGTTGTCCTCAGTATGAATCCATAATAGCTTGCCAGTGAATAGAGGCAAACTGCAGATTAAAAAAAAAAATCTGGTGGACGGTTGTGAAAGAGGGTAGCAGGGGCATGTGCTTATGACATTTCTGAGCTATCTAATAGTTGAAGTTCTTTTTGACTATTGTAGTAAATAATACTGAACTAAGGTTGCTTCCACTGTTCTGCCTTGAAATGTTTCACTTTTTTCCTAGCTGAGGCTTTTAACAATGGTTTCTCATTATGTGTTAAGTGTCCATAAGGGCTACAATAAGGGCACATGGACATAGATTACTCAGGCATGAAGCATTGATCTATTGAGTCTGTGACATTGTGCATGATTATCTGAGAGGAGCCCCACTGAACATAGTGGTGCTTCATACAGAGGAAATATGTGCAGGATCAACTGCATGGAAACTCAGTGTAATACTTGGAGAAGTTCACTTTCACCCTTCCAAACTGTGACCAAGATTTCAATCCTAAATTAGATTTCCCTTGCTAAAATGTCACATCAGAATACATATGTTTTTGCTAACTTCAGCACCTTAATTCACAGGTGGATCATGTAGGACTCTGGAGAGAATGGAAAACAGTATTTCCTCTCGCTTTCTGTCCCAGTCTCCTGCTCTCAGGTACAGTTCCCACTTCTTGTAAATGCTGGACAGCCCAGCCTTGGTGTAGCTCAAATTTGGCAACCTCAGCAGTTGATTCTGGGGTACCTCAGCAAAGAAGCTTGCTGTTTGTAAAGCTCTGAGTGCTTTTCTTGTGTTGCCTGCCTGTTTCTGTAGGGTGACATGGAACACTCAGAATGCACTGTGCGGTCAAGGTTGTTGTCTACTTTCATTTTTTCAGTTTTCCAACAAACACCACTGCTGCATAGATAAAGCAGTTTGGGCCAGTATAAAGAATGTGTTTTGACATCTGATTTACTCTTCACCATTTATGCACTCCGTTTTATTTTTGCATTTCATTCAACTTGGACAGTGACAAACATTCAATTCACTTTTGTTTATTGATTAGTTTTAACCGGTTTCCTTACATAGCAAGCAACTTATTCTGATGACTAAGCTCCAAACACTGCATGATGATTTAATTTCTTGAAAAAAGAAACCTACTGTGCCTTATAGGGCCAGAAGATTGTCATCTCAAGTATTGGGGAAAGAGATCCATAAATGTTAGGAAGTACCAAGCATCTGGTTCTGTTTCTTTTCAATGTGGCAAAGAGAACAGCAATATATACTGATTCCTTAAAACTGGATGCCAAAGCACTTCAGGCAGAAAAAGAAGACTAAGTTTTCCAGTGCATAGCACTGGGAAGCAGGTGCACATGTCTCATGTGGATAAAAGTGTGGCCAGAGTCTGATAGCTGCCTCAGTGAGAGAAACTGATCCCGATTATAACTGTGGCTTATCTTCCCTTACTGGAACCTCCCCTTCTTCCCCCTTTCACTAAATCCTTGTGTCAAATATAGCAATCTTGTGTATGATTATTCCTTGTTTCCTACTTACTTGCATCCAAGGGGAAAATATATTTGTGGAAGGATTTTCACCTTGAGAATTGTCTTGCGGATTCATCACATTGCACTCCATTTTGTTTTGTTTTTTCACTGGCAGTGATAATGCAACTTTTAAGTATTTATTCTTGTCTTTGATCCTTTAGGCAACTGTCGCTTTCGGCATCAAATCTAGTGCTGGATTACAAACCCGCTGAGGGTCCTGCCTTGTCGAAGCAAGTTTCTGCTGATCTATTGAAAAATGGGATCGACTGCCAGAATGCAGCCAAGGAGAATGGCATCTGCCAAAATTCCTTCCGGTCACTTTACATGCAGAAAAAGAGAAAACCTGCTTTAGAGATCAACAGGGGCCTTGGAAAACTGGCTGGGTCTTTCCCAGATAGCGATGGGGCTATGGTAATAAGGAAATCCCAGTCAGTTCATGACCTTGTTCATAATGGTAAGGAAGGAGGTTAGTATTGTCATGAAATATTTAAAAGTAATGCACTCCACAATAGAAACCTGCCCAGCCTTGGAGATGAGAACCAATCATCTGCTAGCTTAGAAACACAGTTTGCCTCCTAACATAAAAGTATTTGTATCTCTCAGGAGTGAGTCGAGCTGGAGATGAACAGAACAGAGCGCTAATTCCCACTAGTGATAGGAAGAGAAGTACTTCATCACCTCCTTCTGGAAACCAGCTGTTGTTAAAAGCTGATAAAAATATTAAAGCAGCCCACAGGGATGCTGTTCTTCAGTAGAAACTCAGAAATGCTCTTCATTTTCATGCAGCTTACACAGAAGTTAGTGAGTCAAACTGAAGTGTGGCTTTGTGTGTACAGTTTGGAGTGCTTTTATTTTATATTGTGCTTTGAATTACTCCAATTTTTATTGACAGTTTTCTGTCAGCCCTGGTGCAGCTTTTCAGTGTGGATGCTAGGTGGTATGACCTCTGACTTTTTCCATATTTCCCACGGCACAGAGCAGAAGACTAAACTAGAACATGCAATACTACCTCTAGTCTGGTCTTCAGGGGAGGCTGGTGCCTCCTGTGTCAGTGGGGCACCTCTTAGTATGAGCTGGATAGGAGCTATCCATGGTACAGAACTCCACCCCTAAAATAGATTCACCAACCCTGGATAGCTCCTCTGAAGCTTAGAATAAAAGCTGCAATGGATAAGGAGCCCTGCTGACATAAGGCTCAGCTGTCTTCCCTTTCTCAGAAATGTAGGCAGTTGTGCTTGAAGGAAGGATGCCTAGGTTAAGGAGTAGTTGCTCAAAATTATTCACAGAACATTATTTAACAAGTGCTGCTGCTTGAAATAATGTTTCAAAGCTGGAGCTATTCTAATTCTGCTTGCATCAGCTGCTCCGGACCAGTTCTATGCATTTATCTCTTCCATTTCTACAGATAAGGTTCCAGGGGTACCTTCTGCCAGGCAACGTCCTCAGACCCTAATGGTAGGTGAGAAGGATCCGAGGTCCAATAACTGTCGGGAGTTGTCTGCAACTCTGAAGATGGATGGCTCCAACTCTATGCAAGCCAAAGACAGTAAAGCAGCAAAGCCAAAGTCCTACATGAGCCCTACCACTAGCTTCATGGCCAAGATATCCCGTAGCATATCTGTGGGGGAGAATCTGTGCTTTGGCGACTCTGCAGAAAACCTGGTCCAGACGAAGGGAAGCCCACAAATACCAGAGAAGACACAGTTAAATCTTTCAGTGGACACTGAGAAGAATAAGTCACCTGTGAAAGAAAATGGTCCAGTGAAACCTGCTCTTCAGCAGGCCACAGGCGCTTCATCACCCAAGTCTTTTCACAGCAAGTTGGTGTCTAACCGGGCCCATCTCATCCTTGATATCCCCAAACCTCTACCTGACAGACCAACGTTAGCTTCTTTCTCTCCAACAGCCAAATCAAAAGTGCTGCTAGAGCCCGTGTCTCCTCAGTCAGCTGCTGGCATTGGTAAAAAGAAATCCTCCTTTCCTGAAGGATGGGCCCCCAAGTTGGAAACCCACGCAGCTGTGCCCCTGGGCTTTGGTAAAGGTAGCCCAGTGAGTCCCTCTAAAGAGAATCAGACATTACTGAGGACCAAAGTCCAGCTTGAGCCAGAGGTTTCCAATCCCAAATGGAAAGATTTTGCGGACAGTCTGCATCCAGAGGCTCCAGAAAAAAGACTGCTGGGTTGCACAGAGGACGTTGCCAGCACTGATTATGTGCAAGTTAATCAGCATGAGCTTTGCTCTTTTGAATCAAGTGGGCCGAGGTCTCCCCCATCTGTGGCAGCCCTAGCAGAGCACTCAGGTGTGCATGGATACCCTTCTCTAATCTACTTCCCCCTTCTGTCTCCTGTCTTTGTGAATCGCTTCACACTTCCATCACATTTCTTTACGTCCAGCTTCTGGCCTGTCTCGTCCTGTCTGCACCTGTCTCGTTCCATAAGCCATCCTTTCAATGGTGAGACATCTTTGTCTGACATTCATTTTTTTTCTGTCCTCAGTTCTGCTCCCTGTTTGTCTTGTGTTTTGGGTTGGTGCATGCAAATATTGTAGTTCTCACATTTTTCCTGCTTGAAGGTAGAGGTAAAACAGCACAAGAGTGAGTGAACATTTAGTTTTAAAGTAATTTTATATACAGAGGAGAGGAAAACTTAGTGCTTAATGTTTCCTGGTATTTCAGTGTGACGTCTTTTAGTTTCTAAATTATAACAAACAAAAAATGTGGGGGGAGCATCAGAAGAAATGATGAGAAAGCATATTTATATTCACAATGATTGTTCAAAACACCATTTCAGGATTAAATCCACCCCCCCCCCCCGGCTGATTGCCTTACGGCATGTTCCAATTTGGTACTCCCCAGATTTGTTGGACTTATACCTCCCATCACGTCCAGCCAATGGCCATGCTAGCTGGGGATGATGGAGTGTGGTCTGACACAACAGGAGGCAAAGCTAGCATTGAATATCTAGACTCATTGTTCAAATAAAAAGCTACAAGTTCTGTTAAATTGTGTATTGAACATGGTGTCCTTTGTTGACAGGACTTAGATTATTTTAAATAATGTAAGAATTTCTGAGAAGAGAAAAACCATGGCTTGAATTTATGGGAGTAAATTCTCATTATTCCGAGGTTTTCTAAGCAATTGCAGAGTGAAGCTTGAAGATTCAGTTGTGTAATTCTGTAGTGGAAAGACATCAAAAGGCTGGGTGTGCACACAGGGTGAAATTCAATACTGTCTGTTCCACTGGGGAAAGAGTTTCCCTGCCCCGTGTCCCCTTAAAATCTCCAGAGGTTTGGGAAGGGCTCTGGGGGATAAATGGGGTTGTGTGTGGGGTGCAGGTAGGAGGAGAGGTAGCTGAAGCCCCATTGGCTGACTGTAGATCCACTTGTTGAAAGTTGCCCCTAGCACTGACCTCTTAATTTCATTTTATGGTTGCATGATCTTATGGAAAACTGTGCCACAAGCCACTGAGCTTGCTTGAATTGGTTTCTATTGCAAATCCCATGAAGTGGAATTCCTTAATAGGAAGGAGCAACTAAATCTTTGCTAAAATGGAACATATTTCTTTACTTGCCCTCTAAAATATTGATAAGATGTGAAGTAAAGAGAGAGACAGAAGTTCAGAAATGAATTTTACAAGGATGTTTAGTTTTTTCTCTCTCCTGCAATCACTAAACACTGAAGGCAGTTGACAACCAGAAAAAATTGTTCCATAAAGCATAATAAGGAACAGAAATTAATAAAACATCGCAACATCCCTAAAGATATCTGTCAAAGCAAAATGGGTTCCACATAAAATTTCATTAAAGGGGCTGTTTTGCTGCATCAACCTGTGCTGAGCAATTAATTGTAAAATTAATGAAATTGCCATTGTGGCTAATAAAAAAGGGTGTTACAGTAAGAAGAACAAAGCACAGTGCTTTGGGTGGGGGTCGGGGAGAGGGAGGGGGATTGAGGACTTATATTCTGCTTTGCTAATGGCTTGCATGTAACTTTGATATAAAGTTACCTAACACATCTGCTCTCCATCTTCTTCCATCTACCAAATGTGCACATACATCTCACCAATTGAGTGCATTGAGATCTGGGATGTGAAGTATGGTTACTACAGCAGCCATCTGATATGTCGGAAGATGCATTTCCACTGCCTCAGAAGCCTTGTAACTCATTCATCCAAGATCTGCAGTACTATTAACAAGTTGCCCATGGGTGCTGGCATTCACTGATCTCAACAGCAATGTACATGCATAATAATTACAGGAAAGTCCAGAGATGGTGCGAAGAGAGCAACTGGTGTTCTAATTCAGAACGCAATAGGAAGTGCAGTTTATTCACACTGTAAATTAACAAGAAAGTCAAGAAACATAGATCCGAGGCGTTAACTGGTACTATTGTCATACTAGGCATGGAACATAACAAATCAATCCCTTTCCCTGGGTTCTTTATCCCCAATGCAAAACTCTTTAGAGCTTTTGTTAGACGTATTATTTTATAGTTAATAGGATTTTCAGTAGCTCCCTCATATGAGTTATCTTGCAGCAGGACTGAATAAAAGCCGTATCGTACCTGTGTGTCTGTCCCTTTGTATGTCAGTCATCATGTGCCATGACGTGCCTTTAGAAACGTTGCTGGGTCAGGTAGTTCAGCAGGCAAAGGGTGCTTTCAGACAAGGCTCTTCTTGTGCAGTTGCCTCATTCACAGATGGCTGGGCTGGGCCGGGCCTGAGTCCAGAGGACACTGTCTTAGATTTGGAACCTCCCAGTGTTTCCCTGTTGCTTCCTCCCTCTCTTCCCACTGCTTTTTGCTTACCAAAAAAGCCCATTAAAGAGGGATGGCAGAATTGCTGCACAATGGCTTTTGACTCGTAGCACCAGGAACTGCTTGTCTGGAAGCACACCAAGTAGTCTGCTTTTTAAAAAATGCTGAGTAGTAATGTATTGTTGTGCTGTTCTTAATCTCCCCCCACCTTACTTTGTATGTCATCCCAATAAGATCACCTTTTAAATCAATATGTGCTTTTTGTCTATTTTGATTATGCTTGTTCAGCTCTATTTGAACTTAGTTTTCGCTTAGGCCGGTACTTCCCAAACTACCATTGGCTCTTGCACAATTCTGCCGTTCGATTTAGAGACAGATTTCTACTCATGCACTTACTTTTAAGCTGTAGGCAGTGCCCTCCTGAGGAGAGTCTATGTTTCTGCATGTTTCACTGTTCTAGGTGTGCCTGCTAGCTGGAAAGAGGCAAGTTGGGTGCTGCAGCTGGTGGCAGGGGCGCAATGCACAGCCTCCTTTGATTGGCGGCAAGTTCTGCTGTAGCCCTGCACCTGGAAGTATTTAATTGTGCATGATGCAGACATTCCCATTTCCAGTTCAGGCTGACTGGAAGAAGGCCAGGCCGGCACAGTGGCCTATGCCATGGGCAGCCTCTTTTATGGCTGTCTGCTTTGGGATCACAGCAGCCTTTTAACTATTTAAGCAAATTCGAACAGCACATACCTGTGCTCTGGCACATAATTTGGGAACTGCTAATACAAGTCTTAAACAGAAGGACTTTGGTTTTACATAGGTCTAATTCAGAGATAACACAATGCCTGGGGCAAATTACTTCTGTTTAGAAAGGGCTAAAAATTCAAAAGCAAGATGTTGACATAAGATTAATTTCTAGAATTATGTATGTGAATAAAAAAATCACAATCTGTTTCAAGCGAACCATTCAAGGATCTATAAGGAGTGAGGGGAGGTAGCCATATGCATGTTGCTTGAACCTTCTAAAAAATCCTAGGAATGGCTAGATTTTAGCAGGGTTGTTCAGTGGTGGGACAGCAGGCAGAGCTAGCTTGATATAGGTACCTCTTGCTTAGTGCCTGTGTTCTTTTGTCTCTTCCCACCCCTCTTTCCAGGAGGTTCATCCATCAGTGTTGAGCAATGCAAGCATGTTGTGTCGGAGCTTCAGGATAGCATGCGCAAAGCCATCCGTCTGTACCGTATGGTAAGTTGCCCATCCCTTCCATCTGGACGGTTAGACATTAATGCTTATATGTGATTGCAGCAGGACCCCTGTATCCACACGGATCAGTTCCAACTCCCCCCGTGGATACTTGAAACCGTGGATAATGGTGAACACTGCATTTATTTTTTTTCATAATTTTGCTCATTCTTAAAAGCCTACAATATTGCTTTCCATATTCAATCTAGAATCTTCACCTACAGGAAGCACTTTACAACTTCTCTTTTGGGCTGAGGTCGACTGCAGTTAACTGAAAATGTGGTAACCAAGCCAGTGGATATGGGAGTCCTGTTGTATATTAGGCAAGTTAAGAACAAATGGTTAAGACTCGGGAAGAAATGTTCCCTGCATTTTTGTTCAAGAGCAAACATCTGTACTCATGTTTGTGTGGTTCAGTCATGCAGAAATAACTGCAGCAGCCCACCTGCTGGCTATCTGTAGGAGTTGTTGTGATTTCCATTCTATGGTATTGGAAAGTGTTATACAGTAAAACCTTGGTTTGCGAGCATAATTCATTCTGGAAAACATGCTTGTAATCCAAAGCACTTATATATCAAAGTGAATTTCCCCATAAGAAATAATGGAAACTCAGATGATTCATTCTACAACCCAAAAATATTCATATCAAATTATTACAGTACTGCAATATAATACAAAATAATAAAGAAAATTCAAAATATAAAGAAAAATAAAACAAATTAACCTGTACTTACCTTGGAAACCTTCATGGCTGGTGTGAGGGAGACGAGAGAGGAGGTTATTGTGTGGGACGACTTTCACTATCACTAACGGAATCACTGCTATCTATTGGCTCAATGGAATCTTTTTCTTTTTGTGCAACTTTAACAAGGAACCTTGCTGTTGGAGCTCCACATAACGTTTAACTGGCTCTTTTACACTTCACATTTCTTGAAAGCTCATGGATTCTTGGAATGCTACACGAGCAGGGGCTTGACTTTGATATCCCCACTTGCATTAGCACAAAACAAGAGAGTGAGACGGCAGTGACAGAGAGAGAACAACCATTGGCTCAGTTGTGATCATGTGATGTTTGGCATCATGTACTATTCATTTTGCAAGACATCACTTGTTTAACAAGTTAAAATCTATTAGAAATGTTTGCTTGTCTTGTGGAACACTCACAGAACAAGTTACTCGCAATCCAAGGCTTTACTGTATACTGATCATGTGGCACTTGCTTCAGTTAGAAACTCAGGGCCACTCATTGCATTAAATACCATGGCATGCAGTTGCTCCTGTACTGTTTTGTTATTTACCTCTAAGTATTGCTGGGCCCTGTACTGGATTGGGGCTACTACATGCAAGAAGGGGAGGTTTGGATTTTCACTCCCCCTCCCCATGCAGTCCCTTCTGCCCTCCCAGCCAAAAAGCAGGAAATTACCAATGGAGAAAACCTCCACTGGCACAGTGGCTTTCTGCACATTTTGGTCTTGAACATGCTTTTGAATACAGAAAAAGAAGAGGGGCAGCTGCACATGACATATTTAGCCTAATCTGTTGCTTATCCCTAGCACCATTAAGCAGTGTCATTTTGGGCAGCTTAAAATGGATTAAAAGCATTAATGAAGGAGAAGCCTTGAGTCTGATTGGAGAATGTGTTTGAAATGCTGAAAGTGGTATGAAGTTCCTTTTTCTGGGAAGGGCAGTTGAGGTGGGGGAAGAGAAGGGAGGAGCTCTGAACCCCTTTAAACCTGAGCCAGCCATGAGAGAGCTTTCTTGTGTGAGAGAGGAGAGAGCACAAGATGGACGAAGCTACAATTAGACACCCTGAGTTCCCCGAGTTCAGACTGATCTTTTAGCAACGTACGTTTGATGCTGTTTTCATTCTTAACAGTCTCAAGCTTTCAGGACAGGGAAGACTGTAACTCCACAACAACCTTCCTGTGCCTCCTTTTCCTTTGCAGGTGTCTGCTAACACAGAGTCTTCAGCTGATAAAAATGAGATTGCTGGCCTCTTGACTGATACTTTCTCTGTGATGAAAAAAGAACTTGATTCCTTGAAGAATGGGAATGAATTTCAAAGGAAAAAAGAAGCATTGGTGAAGCCACAAGATCCAGTTGTAATGCCAAGTGGTTCTGTTTTATCCAGTCCTCAGCATTTTGGAAATGAACAAACTCTTGCTTTGCTAGAACAATACTCAGAGCTTTTGTTACAAGCTGTTGAGCGACGTATGGATAAAAAACTCTGAAGAGTGGCTCCAACTGGACATAAAGTTTTAATGGAACCATGTAGGAAAATTAACGGGACAAGTTCATGGTGAAAATCTTGAATGAATGCTACCATTGTTTTTATCCAATGAGAAAAGACTTTTTCTTTAATAAGAAACAAACAGTTATCTTCTCTGTGTAGTTTTCAGAAATGTGCTGGCCACAGTAACTAATGTTTCTGTGCCCAACTTCTCTCTTTTGAGTGCTGTTAAGAGAAACTTCTTGGAACTGTTTGACACAGCCAAAGCGTTTGGCTTAAAAACACAAAGACACACAGGATTAAACAATACACACAACTGTGACCCAACCTGAAACTGCTGATTTGACAGAGAGAGATCAAGATGGCACCTGTCACTCCCTCTGAAGCATTGTCTCAATCTGTGTACAGACTTTTAAAACTTTTATTTATTAAATTATTTTTGTGACTATTCACACATGTGTTTCTAGCAGTGGCTGTTTCTACATCTTTCCCACACTCTGTAGTGAGAACAAGTTTTGTTACAGTAAACGTACTAGTAGTTTAGGAGGCAGGATTATTGAACTGCTTCCTGCTGCAGCCTGCCTTGCTGAATTTTACTCCTTAATACCAGGATTTATTACACCTACATTTTTGTTTTTTGCATGTATATGCTTGTTCTTTCAGCTTTATTTTAAAGGAAAACCTATGCTTTACCAAATCTGTATTTGCTTCCAGAGGATACTGTACCTTTTGGACCAAGCTCTGGAGATCTGTTACAAGGCTGCTGACAGTGGATTTGCTATTTTACAAGAACTGTTTGGCATTTTCTCAGGTTTTATATTTAAAAAACTGAGTTTTTACAGGCATCAAGGGAAGAATTGTCACAGCTGTTAGGAAGTTGTTCAACTGCAGTTGTATCCTAGCCTCCTGATGTTACAGTGGCTTTTTCTTTTGGGGGATACAGGACTTGAAGAGAAGGGTGGATGTGAAAATAACACAGGATGGCTATGGTGTTTATTGATTAGTACATTGTTTTCTTTTATTTCATTTGAGTATGAATTTAATCACTGAAGATCCTAGCTGCAGTTCTTCAATACTGTTCAAGCTAAGCATGAGAGGTACTTAACATCCCAAGTATTGTGTGTGAGGGTGGGGGGTGGGGGTGGGAGGGCCCTTACTCATGGACAAAAATACGAAATTACCAAACTAAGTGTGAGTAGCCAGCAAATACAGATTGTTGTGATACAACTATCTCCATTTCCTTTTTCATGCTATGTCAGTTGGGAGGATGTTTAAAAATGTCAGTTGACTAGGAAGCTGCATGGAATTTTATTATGTTCAGCAACCACAATTTGCCAAACTTCTTCAATGACATATAAATTAGACCATTGCTTTTGTTCAAATAAAGTAGGAATGAACTGATTATTGTCCATTAATCAAAGAAAGGAAATGAATTGAGCTAGAAGGGACATTCACGCTTTCATTCATTTACTGTGCCATCTGCTTAAATCTCTCCTAGTGTTTTTGTTTTGGTTTGTTTCAGAGGCACTACAATGCCCAGTATACAGAAGGATCCATCTGTCTGTGTTCTCTAAGTGCTGGCTGATACTGATGAAAGCATGTTAAAACTAACTAATCTACAGAATTTTTAGTGTTGCTTTCTCTGGTAAGAGGGCAGTTGTTTCTTCTATGTTTGGTTAGATCATCCTACTAAGCAGCTTTGCTGATCTAAGCCCCTCTGGATGGCTTGCCTCCTTGCACTTTTGAAATTATCCTGTGGGCTTTGATTCATTACTCCACAGCTGGCACCCTGTGGTGTACCTTCTTGTCTGGGACTGGTTGGTTTATTTTGTGTTGTTTCAGGGCTGAGTAGCCTGCAGAGCAGCCCTCTTTTTGGTTGACCGGCTGGCCAACCCAGGTAGCCAGGCATCCTTAACTAAGCTCCAAGGCTGGGAACTTGGAATGTTTCTAGTGCTTTTTAGTATGCCCCTCTGCAAAACTCTTGGCTGTCTTAATCAGGTATTTTCTCTGAATAAACTTTATTATTAGAATACACTTACCAGAACTGAGGTTCAACTAGCCCTTTACACCTAAGAGTGAACCTAAAATGTGCCACTTTTCCTGCTAAGGATGGATAGCATAAATATATTCCATGGAGATCTGTTAACTAGGGAGGGGCCTTTCTGCATATATGTCAGACAAGATCTTAACAGGCAAAGTACCTTTCTTCCCCGGTTCACATTTAGACTGTGAAAAGTGTTCAGTGCTCAGGAAACACTTCCTTGTTCTGGAACACACACATACACTCAGGTAAAAGCCATACTTCCAACACAAATATCTTGTAGCAGGAGAAAAGGAGAAATGGAGGTTCTTGGTGTTGATCTAATCTCTGAAAATGTCAGAGGTATCCATTTGAGAGCACAATCAACATGCTGATTTGCTTTACCTCAGTGCTACTGATACTGTGGCAATTATTCATTGGGGGCTGGGTTGAGTGAAAGGTAGTATCAAACAAATTCTATGGATAATTCTCATCCATTTACTTTTAAAATGGACACACTATTTTCATGGATTGAGCTGGGAAAATAATAAAAATGGGGCTGAGAATGGACTAGCATGGTAGTTTTGTGTGGTCTTGAGTAAGTAGATAAGCAAAGAGGTATGGGTAGGCCTGTAGCTTCTAGCATACCACTGAAGAGCATAGCCAAAGAGTCTAGTGAAGTAGTACTAGGACAAGGAATCTGTTATGTTCAAAGGGCAAATGCAGATTGAAATTGTCTCAAATAGGAAAGATTCAGCATGTAGTTAAGTGGAACTGTGAATTGAACCTGTAGAGTAGAAAATAGGGAGACATGTTTGCAGGGTTTTAAAAGTCTTTTAATGTGCCCTTGATTTTCCCACTTACATCCATGATTTTAGATGACTTTGGGGTAAATATTTTTAGCCAGTCAGTTGGCTGCCATGGAATTCTTAGCTGCCCTCTTTTCTAACCCAATAATTTAAGTCTGAGAAAAAGCAGGAGGAAAGTATTCAGTGTTTCTTTGGAAAATACTTAAAGACATCAAATATTTCTAGTTTTTCATTGGTGCCACCATGGCAAATGGCTCATATATTGAATTTGAAGTATCTTAAGACGTTTCTGTTACAGATTATAAGATAATCAACCTGCACTTTTTGTTTTGAACTGCATGCATCTTTTTTTTACTTTATTATAGATGTCTACTGGCCCTCAACAGATACCTCAGGATTAGAAAAATAGAAACGCATGTAGATGTAGAAACATCTGCATCTGTCCCACTTCTGATTTTGTGCTTGCATGCAATTTTAATATATTAAGTTAAATGGGGAAAGTTTCTACAAGAACATAGATTACTGAAGTCATACTTGCATATTATTGCTATGCTTTCGGAAATAATTCTGAGCAACATGATTTAAATGTTGTTCCTAAATTATACTGGTAATCTTTTCAAAGAGAGCCTTTTGTAAAGAGAGCAAATACTGTGCACATGAATGGGACAAAATGATCTGTTTCTACAATAACAAGAGATACCTTTTGAAAACAAAATTGTGCATGCAGCAGCTATTGATATGTGCAATTGGTGCTACTCAGTATAGTCATTTTGTTATTTACCTGCTGCCCAACCCTTCTAGTTTAATCCTTTCCTTTCCTATTGAATTCCCCCTCCCACATTGTTGGGCTTATTAGGTTCTCCTTTCACCCCAGTGATCCACAATAACTACATTTCCTCCTTTAAAAAAAGTCTACTGTTAGGAACAGTGTATGTGACTAAGAGCATTACAATGCCATCATGTATAAACACAGCCATTCAGCCACTGGACCCATCATATCAACTTTTTTACATCATTAGAAAACTCAGTTGGAAAGGAGAATAGCGCCTTGTTAGGCCTTCAGGTACTGTTGACTAAGGGTGCAATCCTATGCATGATCAGGCAGGAAAAAAGCCTACAACTCTCAGCACACCTCAGTGGTGGCTGGGCGGGACACACTGGGAAATGTAGGCCTTTTTTTGGTCTAAACATGCGTAGCACCGTGTTTTGAATTGCTCTTTCTATACACAAAAACTAGACTATCCAGTCCTGTACTGTTTGTATATAATATACTGGAGCTGGACTGCGTATATGCTGGGCTATTCTGCTGTACATGACAAGACAGCGATGCATGGGTCAGCAACTTTAGGAATAAGCCATGTCTACTCAGCATGTCTCTTAAGCCCAAGCACCAGAAAGACATCCCTTTTCAACACTCCTTCCTATTCTCCACTTGTTTAAAACCTGAAACTTTTTAAATTTATAAATGAGCATTTTCTACCTTGGCTTTAAAAAGGAAAAAAACATTTTAATATGTCATTTTTGATTATCTGAAACAACTGTTTTATGTTTGTGGGGGTTTTGCACTGTAAGCCACCTTTTGGGGCTATTTTTAATTCTGTATTCATTTGTACTCTGCGTCTTAAATAGTTTCAATAAAAAAGTGTGATCCTTTGTTACAAAATATTTTTCCTGATGTTTATTTAATAGATTTATATGTTGGTGTTAGTTGCGAAGTCGCATCCGACCCATTGCGATCCCATGGACAACATTCCTCCAGGCCTTCCTGTCTCCACCATCCCCCAGAGTCCACTTAAGCTCACACCAACTGCTTCAGTGACTCCATCCAGCCACCTCATCCCCTGCCGTCCCCTTCTTCTTTTGCCATCTACTGTTCCCAGCATTAGGCTCTTCTCCAGGGAGTCCTTACTTCTCATTAGGTGGCCAAAATATTTGAGTTTCATCTTCAGTATCTGGCCTTCTAAAGAGCAGTCAGGGTTGATCTCCTCTAAGATTGACTGGTTTGATCTCCTTGCAGTCCAAGGGACTTGCAGGAGTCTTCTCCAGCACCACAATTCAAAGGCCTCAATTCTTTGGCGCTCAGTCTTACCACTGATCATATTAAAATGATCTAAGTAGTTCTGAAGTATACACAGTGTAATACATTGTTATAAATTAAAGTACAATTAAATATATAATAATTATTAAAAATATTTAAATAATAATGAAAACATTTAACCTAATCTATCATACTTAAGCTGAGCAGCACATTCATGTAGAGAAGGTCTGGGTTTTTACACAGGCTCTTGATTGCTTCTTAAAGCAGCTGGCATCTCCCAAAAGCTTGGTGGAAGACTCTATACGGTGGGCACCAGGAAAAAGTCCTGTTTCCATATTGCTGCACAACGGCAATCTACAGATTGTGGACCAACTAGCAAGCCCTCCTACAATGGTCTTAACAATTTCACAGGTCTTAACTGGGGATAGTAATGTGCCAGGTAACCTGGTCCCAAACTGCCAACAACAAGACCTTGTACAAGAGTTTTGCATGCCAACAACAAGAAGACCTTGTCTTGGTAGTTAATAGGTAACCACTGCAGTTGCTTCAACACTGGTCAGGTCAGGTCAGGTCAGGTCAGGTATCCTAATCAGCATCCTACTGCACTAACTGCAACTTTTCAACAAAGTTGGCAAATAACCCCACTTGGAGCATGTTATGGTGATCTAAATGTGAGATTACCAATGTTTGGATTATAGTATTCAGGCAATTCCTAGCCAGGAAAGGGTGGTTGATGACAGGCACTCTGCCACAGAAGACACCTAGGCCATTAATGACAGTGAAGAATCTGGGAGCACCCCCAAACTACATGCCTGTTCTTCTTAAGGTAGTGCAACTCTCTCTAGAACAATGAGCCTGCCCCTGCAATTGCTGAACCTGGAAACTACCCACCATCAGAGTCTCTGTCTTGTCAGGATTGTGTGTGTCTGTTGGCCCTCACACAAGTCATCAGTGAATTCAAGCACAGGTTCAGAACCCGTGCAGTCTCTCCTTATTCAGATGTTACAGAGAAAGGGAGTTGAGTGTCATCAGCAACATACGCATTGTTAGCTTCTGGAAGTGTTCCAGGAAGTGGAGAACTGCTTTAGCAGAGTGGTCCTAATCTAAAAGAATACCATAATTGATGGTGTCAAAACCCTCTAAGAGACAAAGTAGGATCAATACAATTGTATTTTCTTTGAGTCCCACATGGAATTAGGCTGATTCTACCTCAACTCCAGGCTTATACTAGTCTGAATTATGTAAAGATGAGTATCCTTCAAGAAACTGAATTATTGAATTATTCAGCCTTCATTGTCTCAAGCACCTGGGTGCTAGTAACTGTACACTTTCTTTACTGAAGGAGAAGCTATACGATCAGCTCCATCAAGACAGCAAGCATCACTCCATCACACAGATAAAATCACTGCTCCCTGCATCCACTCAATCAGCCATGCCTGGCTGGCTCAAATAAGCCAGGATGGTCAAAAGGTAAAGGAGCATGTCATAGGCCAGACAGCTGCAACTCGCTTGTTTGCATGCTCTGGCATCAAAGTGAGTTGTGTGAGCAGTACCATTCCCCTGGCCATGAGACCCTCTAGATCAACTTGTTCCTCAATTAACTTTTATAAGCATTAGATTCATTAGAATTTAAACAAACCGCATAGACTAGCAACTAAAAAGTGTAAAACAGCAGAGCCAGCAAATAAGCTGAGGTGCTTTTGAATGAGGTATTACTGTACAGCGGCAATGCCTAATTCCTGACCTTCTATGGGGGAAGGTGAGTCCAAACATCTTTTGTTTTTATGTTTTCTCACTACCATCCAGAAAAAAATGTTAGGGAAAAAAGCTGGAACACTTCACCAGAATTGCCAGAGCACCAGGCACTTCATCTAGAGGTTCCATTGAAAGAATACTCTGCTTTAAAGAGGAGTAACTGATTACAAGTAACTCAGCTGAATTCCCCCCCTTCCCTTGCATTGCTTAGAGAAATGAATCCCGAAGGCACTATTTGGACACACAAGGTCTGTAGGGCCTGTACTGTATCTAAAACACAAGCTGATAGGAGAAAGATGCTTTGCTGTTGGACTCAGCAGAACCAGACCAAAGAAGTCTCTTTCTGCTCAGAATTAAGCATTTGTACAAATTAGATATGCATACCTAATAAAAAAAATCCCCATCAAAATAGTTAAGAAAACACAAGTTAAAAGAACTTATATCTCTAAGATTGCAGTTTAAAGACATGTGACAACTCCTGTTCGTTTTCACATTACATTTTTAAAAGTCCCAGCCTTCCACCAAGGTTCTCAGCTGGAGTGCAAAACTCAGATTTAAAAATGCTGGATTTTTGACTCCAGCCCTTTCTGGCTTAGTAAATTCACTCAATAAGGCGTTGTGTGTGCACCTAAAGCACACCTTTTTCAGCTGTTTCTTCTGAATCAAAAGGATGCTTATGTATTATTATTATAAGCTTGAGTTCTGGCCTTGTAGTAAGCAGGCACTAAGGAAATCAAGCCTGAATAAAAAGAAAGACCGGGCAGCAAATCAAAGCAGAGTTTTGTCTGCTTTGCTCTGCTGTCTCTGCGGCACTTGATCCCAGAAGAATTCACGTTAAACTGCTATGTGGAGACAAGCAAAAATAGCCACCCTGGTCCTTGGCGGTGCATTGCAGTTAACCGATACGCCGTAAAAAGCGTGCAAGCTTTCATCGGAAAACTGGACCTAACGGCAGGCGAGGGAGCCCTGGAAGCGCCTCCTGCTCTCGCCGGGACGCTTAGGAAGCTGCCATTGGGCACCGCCACGCGCCGGGCCAACCGAGGAAACAGAATTAGCCCCGGGAGCTTCGGCTTGCGCGGGAGGGGAAGGGCGGAGCGTAAATCTCACACGAGCAAAGTGGGGCCACCCCCGCAGCCAGCACACGCTGCAGGCGCCGCGGCCCGGTGCTGCCCCATGGCAGAGGCCCACGCGGAAGGGGAAGCGCTGCGCGAGGCGAAGCGCTGCCTCGCGGGCTTCCCGGACGAGGCAAGGGGTGAGCGCGGTGGCAAGAGGGCGCTTTCCCTTTCCGGGGGGCCGGGTTGAAAGTTAGCCCCGCGCACCGCAGGGGAGGGGAACGAGACGCGAGGGCGGGCGGAGCGCGGCTAGGCTATGCTTAAGTCCTTTTACCGGAACAGTGAAAAGGTTACTTCACGGAGGATGTAAATGCTGGGCCGGTTCGGACAGAAATAAGGCTTGCGGCGTTGCCCAGGATTGCTCAACGCCCTTTCCCTTTGCTTGGAGGCGAACGCGGGTTGCGCCTTCCGGGCCCGGTCAGGCGCGTACGCGCGCGGAAGAGACGCTCCGCGCTGTCTTTGGAATAGTCTGAAAATGGTCATTTCTCGCTTCTGTGTGGAGGAGTGTGGTGCTTCAGCAATATCAGGAGCACGTATGAGAAATGAAGCTCAGAAGATCCTCGGGAGTGCCTGGCCTTGCCCTGTCGGCAGGCTGAAGGGTAGCATCCTTTGAGTTTAAGGGCTTGGGGCAGTAGCAAGATTTTAAATGACTTTTGGTTGCTAAACAGAAGTGTGTGTTGTATATAGCATATGGATAAATGGATGTTGTGGCTAATTGCCAAGCCAATAAACTAAAATTGAGCCAAGCCTCCTTATGCATGGACAACTCAACAGATATTACATGGACAGATATTAAATATTTTAGAAAAGACTCATTTTTAGTTACTTAAATTCAGGTACAGGTTAAGACCAAAGGCCTGTTTCATCCTGTATCCTGTTTCCCTCAGTGGCCAACCCCAGAGTAGGATGTGCGTCCAGTATTGCTCTCCTTCTGTCACTTCCCAGAAACCAGTATCCACTGGCATGCTGCCTCTGATGCTGAAATCAACATACAGCTGTCATGACAAGAAGTAACTGATATTTTTACCCTTTATGAGTTTTTATAACTCCTTTAAAGCCATCTAAGATTATGTTGAAATTAGGTTATACTGGCAACAGATTGGCTTTATGTTATGATGTGACATTACTGATCCATACACAACAAAACTGTTCAGAATTTCAACTCCTGTTAGTAGCAACTATTTGATTTCAGTAAAAACATTCATTGTGGAAGAGACGAGGAGCCATGTGGTGGTTGTAGGCCCTTCTCCAAGCCTGCATTCTGGTGTAGGCAAATATAAAGCCCTGTGTGCTTTCAGTTTTCCATAGATCAGGGACCCTGCCTTTTGCAGAGTTTCTGATTGAATGGATGGAGCTTGCACTATTTATGGCTTCATGTATATCTTCAGAGGAACATGTGAAAGTGAGGATGTAATCCCACTCCATGCATTCATGGATAAGTAATGTAATCAGTTAGCATATAGTTTCTTATTTGAATTGCAACTTTGTTCAGTAGGAAGGCTTAGAAACATGGAAGAATCTAGGCATACGGTGTAGCAGAAGCTAATTCTCCCCACAAAAGTGCCTTACAGACATTTTTAAATACAGCTCCTGTCAGCCTCAACCAGCACAGCCAATGGTCAGAGATTGTTCAATGTCATCTGGAAGTCACCACATTGTGAGAGGTGGCAGCCTAATCTTTCGTTGAACTGGAAATGCTAGAGTGGTCCACCCACAAAACAATTGTACTGGACTAGTCAAATGCTGTCTTAATAAGCCTGTCAGCTTGCTTAGACCTTGAATTTCCAAGCAAAGACTCTTCTAGGCCCCCTGGATATGAGGGAACTCAGCTCCTGTTCGGATCCTGTTACGAAAAGTTTCCATAGGAGTGTCAGCTGCCTTCCAGAAGAGATAGCTTGGTATGGAAATCTCCATGCAAGATACTGGAATGGCATGGCCTACAATGGATATTGCAAGAATAAATCATCATGTGCAGGCTTTTTTCAGTGATCTATGATAATTATAATAAGTTTTCTATATTTGAACAGGAATGTAGGGCCAAACATTTATAGGAAGCCCATGGTTGTCCTAGTAACTGGCTGAACCTCCAGGAAAGAATTTTAGAGTTACGGAATTATAACTGCAGTGAATAGTTATGTTAAGAATCCTTGTTAATCCTTGAAACAGTTGCAAGATCACTTAATGTTTTCATTTGTTTATTTACCTGAACAGAGTTGTGCTTCATGGAGTCAGTGCCCTATCTTGATAGTCTTCCATCTCCCCTGGAATTCTGTCGGGAATGGGTGTGCCCAAACAAGCCCTGTGTGATTCGGCATGCATTCAACCACTGGCCAGCCCTGAAGAAGTGGACCTTAACTTACCTGAGGTAGGAATTGCCACTGTAGTGTCCAGGTTCATTTAAACATTCAGAGCATATAGAAAATGACCTGAAGAGGATTCTTAATACTAATACAAGCTGTTCTGACCCTGTCTTGGATAGAGTGATGCAGTGGCCACAGGCAGGGGATGCTGGGTGCGGTGGCAGGGAGCACTGGTGGCAGCCCCCTGCTTGTTCCTTTCTGTTGACAGAAGAGGTGGCCAACATTGTTAATGAACAAGGTCCACAAAGCTATTAAAGAAGGCTTCTTTCAGAAAATGGAAGTCTGCCCAAAGGAAGAGAACAGAAAGGAGCATGTGCTTTCACGACAGAGTTATGAACAGACAAGAAGAGATGGTTTATTTAAAGAAGGGAGCGGGAATCATATTACTAACATCAAGGCCAACGAGAGACATCTTTAAATATATCAGAAGCATGAAACTAGTGAGGGTGGCAGTTGAATTGTCAGGTGTCAGTGGAAGCTGTTTTAAATGTTTTAAATAAATAAATAAAAATAAGTAAAGGAGTACTAACAGGATAAGGTGAAGCTGAACTTAAAATGCTCAGGTGGCTTGAGTAACTCTCCTGTGAGGAGACGTTTCAAAAGCTGGGATTGTTTAGCTTAGAAAAAAGGCAAGCAAGGGGAGACATGATGGAAGTGCCCAAAATCATGCATGCTGTGCAGAAGGAGATAAGGAGACATTTTTCTTCCTGTCATAATACTATAACCTGGGGTTATCTCGTGCAGTTCATTGGTGGGAGATTCAGGACAAAAAAAAGGAAGCTCTTCTTCATATACTACATAGTTAAACTATGACTTTACTTCCACAAGATATAATGCTGGTCACTAATTTGGACAGCTTCAGAAGGGGCTTGAACACATCTCTGGAGGTGAAGTCTACTAATCGTTGCATGTCTTAAAGCAGGGGTCCTCAAACTTTTTCAGCAGGGGGCGAGCTGAAAGGTGCCGGTGTTGGGTGCAAGCTGGAGAGGTGGCGTTGGCGGTGCATGCGGGATGGTGGGGGGCGGGGGTGGTGTGTGCTGGGGCGTGTGCTGAGGCGGGGGTGGGGCGTGTGGCGAGGCAAGGCAAGGCGCGGGTGGGCAGGCGGGCGGGCGGCCAGGCACGCATGGCGAGGGGAGGGGAGGCAGGCGCACAAGGCAGCGGCTTGCTTACTTGGAGATCGTTTTCTCCAAGCGAGCAAACCGCTGCCTCCCTGTGCGCGGGGAGAGGTGGGCGGTGGCGGGCATGTGCATGGGTGCGGCGGGTCCAAATGGGCATGGCGGGCCGGATAAATGGGCATGGCAGGCTGGATCCGGCCCCCGAGCCTTAGTTTGAGGACCCATGTCTTAAAGGCTAAATGCTGCCTCCATGATCAGAAGTAGTGTGTCCGTGTGTACCAGTTGCTGGGGAGCAGGAGCAGGAAGGTGCTGTTGAATTCGTATCTGGCTGGTTGGCTTCCCATGAACATCTGGTTGGCCATTATGTGAACAGAATGCTCCAGTAGATGCACCCTTCGTCTGATCCAGCCCAAGTCTTTTTACTTGCTTTAAGCAGAGCTGTGCATTCTAGGCAGCCTGCACCCTGAAGCTAGCCTGACACATTCAGATTATGTTGAGGATGCTGTCCCATTATACATGTTGACATCACAGGATTTAGCTACCAGACCACACAACTTCTGTAAGGGAGATGGGGAAAAATCAATTTTATCTTTTGCTTCAGAAAAATGTTTTGGGCCAACCATGAATACAGGAATTTCCTGTAAACTTGAAGCCCTCCATGAAGGCACTGGCTGAAAGGCTGCAAATTAAGTCAAAGATACTGAGGCTGTAGCAACAGAAGGAGTTAGGATATTTCTAATTCCTGGACACCAGCAACAAACCAAGTAAATCTTCCAAGGCCTGATTAGAAATCTCTGGTAACTTAATTTTCCATTGATGTCATAACCATCCATTTCTTGCACAGCAGTGAACATCTGGTGTGTTTTGGTGCAGGAAAATTGTGGGCTCCAAGTTGGTGAGTGTGGCAGTAACTCCAAATGGTTATGCTGATGCAGTTTATCAGGACCGGTTTGTAATGCCAGAGGAACGACACATGCCTTTCAGTGCTTTCTTGGACATTGTGGAGAAAAAAGTAACTTCTCCAGGGGTATTCTATGTGCAAAAACAGTGTTCAAACCTGACTGAAGAATTTCCTGAACTTATGGGTGATGTTGAGCCTGACATACCTTGGATGAGTGAAGCACTAGGTAAATACTTAAATCTTAGTTCCGTCGTTGTGGCTTGGAGTGTTGCACAATCCATGCATATTTCAGAGAAAAAAACAACAACAACTCTTGCCTGATTTTTGGGAAGTAGGAAACATGGTATCTTTCAGACTCCTGCTGAAAATATACTTGCCTGCTTTCCCTGGCCTGTAATTAAACCATGCTGTTTTGTTTTCTGCTTCTAATCTACTCTACTCTGTATTATTGTTACTTTAATTGTACTGTATTGTTTAAAAATAGAATTTTAAATGTGATTTCAATTATGATTTTAATATTCAGATGGAAACTACTGAGGAATGTTTTAAATATGTAGCAGTATACAAATGGCAGAAATAAATATCACCATTCCAGCAGTTTCAGGTTCTGGAATGCCCCCAGATCTTGCATTGTTTTTGAATCAGTAGCAATAGGAATGGGTGGCTTTGCAATTGGAACTGGAATTTCCACACAAATTATTAAAGTTATATGCATTCTGATCTACTTGTAGATCGATTAACCAGTGGAGGCCTCTGATAACATGTGGATGGACGAAAACAGGGTAGAAGGGGAAGGAGACAGTACTCTATCCTCCACCAGCAGGTCCTTCTCACTCCAGCAGTTGTCGCCATTCATTCATTCATTCATTCATTCATTCATTCATTCATTCATTCAGGAGACTTCTATGCCACCCCATTCGCCGAAGCCTCGGGGCGGCTCACAACCATAAATAAACTTCAAAATAGAATAATATAAATTAACAATATATATTAAGTCGCCCTGGCCAAAGAATAAAATGAATAACTAATATTAACAATTAAAATAACATTTGAATAAAAAGGTCTTCGCCTGGCGCCGAAAAACAAATAACGATGGCGCCAGGCGGACCTCTCTGGGGAGCGCATTCCATAGATTGGGTGCCACCACAGAGAAAGCCCTCCTCCAAGTACTCACCCTCCTAATTTTCTTCATGGAGGGTTCCTGGAGAAGGGCGTCTCCCGCAGATCTCAAGGGGCGGGCAGGCATATATGGACGTAAGCGCTCCTTCAGGTAACCAGGACCCAAGCCGTTAAGGGCTTTATAGGTCATCACCAACACCTTGAATTAGGCCCGGACTTCAATGGGAAGCCTGTGAAGCTGACGGAGAACTGGAGTCATGTGAACATAACGCCCAGTCCCCGTCAGCAGCCTGGCAGCTCTATTTTGAACCAATTGAAGTATCCGGACCGTCTTCAAGGGTAGCCCCACGTAAAGCGCGTTACAGAAGTCAAGGCCGGAAGTCACCAACGCGTGTGTCACTGTCGCCATTGCAGCAACAAGCCTGCTCTACAATCAAAATTGTCATTGTCAGTACCTACCTATTCATTATTCTGAATGTAAGGCCTTAATAGCCTGTCCTTCCATACTTACTTGGAAAGAAGGGTAACAAATTGATTGGATTAAAAGTGCTTAATTTGGGAATCCTGAAAACACGCATTCCCTCAGATTTCTTACTTATTTCTTCATACAGGGAAGAAGCCTGATGCTGTGAATTTCTGGCTGGGAGAGTCGGCTGCAGTGACATCTTGTATGGAACATAGGATATATGTTTTCTGACTTTAAGGGCAGCAATGAGATGAGCTATACCTCTAGAAAGATACTGAGGCTTCTATATAGCTTGAAGTCTCTGATCTTGTTTAATCTTGGAAGCTAAGCAGTGTCAGGCCTGGCTGAAATCTGGATGAGTAATTTAAATTTTGTGGACTGCCCAGAAAGCGTGGCCTACAGGTGGTATAGGAATGTAGTGTGGTATTAAAAGAAAAATAACAAGTTTGTTTCAAGAAATGCTTCCTTAAGAGTTTTTTTTGTACTTCCATTGCAATCTTAACATCTAAGAAGAGATGAAGCCATCCTGACTAGCAGCAGCAGAATTTTTCCTGTTCTTCCTAGCGTTGCTGGGGAGCAAACCTTCCACCTGCAAGGCTTGTATGCTGTTACTGCACAGTATATAATCGCCTCCCCCAACTTCGATCTTGTATCATCCCCATCCATATAATTGATAACCTTTGTTGCACCTGGTTCTTTTTTATGCTAGTGCAGGCTGAGATACAGAGTTGTTTGTAGTCTATCTCTGCATCACATCCTGTTTGCTCCCTGTGAAACCCACTCCCCCACCCTCTACAAGGCTAGCATGGGCCTGTATTTGCTAGGAGATAAGGAAGCAATCCTTCGTCCCCTACCTTTTTCCCAATCTTTGTTTCCTCTCTCTCTCCAATCTTAGTACATAAAGACCATTATGAAAACTTGTACTGTGTGATCTCTGGAGAGAAACATTTTCTGCTGCATCCACCAAGTGACCGTCCCTTCATTCCATATGGTATGTATTCTAAGAAATAGATGTGGAAGTGTGAGATGCATATTATTGGCATTCTGGAAGGAATTCGAATTCTACAGTAGGGATGCTTTTCCAAAATGTTTACTATGTAGCAGGGACAGTCTTTCCTGTTGAGAGCCAGACCTGGGGGGCCACGCTCTAACATGGGTGCCACAAGAATCAGGGCATGTCTGGGGAGGCAAGGACATGTGGAGCTTATTATGG